AAAAAAATCATAAAATGGAGAATACTAAATAGGGGATTCATGCATCCAATCTCAAACTCTTGATTCTTCGAATCATGTAAAAGGATTTGGCGTATAATTATACTGCTCTTTCTTATTCTTTTTCCTTCTTTATGGACTCTTGTGAAAGGGCAAAACATATAGTTTTGGAAATACAATAGTGCAGATAATGTAAGAATTGAAAGGGCAAATGAGGTCAAATTTGTACGCGGCATTGGAATATTCTTTCGGAGCCAGATTTGTTGTGTTGTTTCTCGTATATTTAGGGAGGAATATTCTATCGACTCGGATAAAAAATATTCGGAAGTAGAGTGTTCAAATTTTTATACAAATTTCATTGTAATTATTTATAGTATTACGATTCAAATTGGTTTCAATTTTTTAGATTTCTCAAACCATATAAGATATTAATATATATATATCTTCATGTTTTTTCAGGTTAGAATGCTATTTAATAAATCAAATACAATCTAAATATATATAAAATATATTTACAATATTATACTTCAAAAAAGGTATTTTGAGAGTAAAAGATTGATGTGAGTATAAAGTAGTTACAAATTGTAAACAATTGTAGTCAAAATATCAAATTGAATAAAATATAAAGTTAAGATATTAAATTAAAAAAAGAGATTAAATTTTTTAGTAAAAAAACAAGAAATGAAGTTACTTTGGTGTTATGTAATTGTAGGGGAGCATGTGATTTAAATTAGGTCAAAAACAAACTTAAAATGAACGATGAATTAAAGAAATAAGGAAATATCATGCAAAGTTGAGTGACTAAGTTTAAAAATAGAAATTTTTTTATAAAAGAGAAATTGAAAGTCCATGCGTACAATAAAATGATTTGAAAGGGTGTGGTTTAAATTTGATAGAAACAAACTTAAAATGAAAGACGAATGGAAGGAATTAAGAAATCAATGATCAAATCACAAAATTGTCAAAATACTCAACCAAAATTTGATTTTTCAAGTCACTCGATTTTGAAGTTTTAACTTTACTCGAACTCAAAAACCAACTCAATAATTGGGATTGACTCGAAAAACTAGAATAACTCAAAATTGAATAAATGATTTTTTAAATCTATCCGAGTTTTGCTCACCCCTACATACATTGATTTATTATATTTGATGTAATAATAAATAAGATTTGAGGTTATTTTTTGTCCTTCAAAGTATAAAAATTTACATAATCAGTACAAAAAATGGTTTAATATATCAAATGATCTTGAAATCGATAATTTTGTCAAATGTTACCTAGATTTTTTTAAAAAATCAAATTGATTATTGACCTTAAAAAAATAATTTGATAACCAATCAAAATGCTAATGATATATTTTTTATGTAAATAGAACCGCTAATTTTAGTAAGAGAGAAAATATTCAAAATTATAAAAAAAGTTTGAAAACTAAATACATAATTAGAATATTTACCTATAACCATTAATACAATAACTAGTCATTCGAGATCATTCAAAGACCATACAAAAAAATCATCCAATAAACTTGAATAAAAGATAAATACAAACAAATTTGATTGCATCGGGAAACAAACCACAGCAGGGTATTAAACTATTGACAGGCAACAAAAAATCGTAAATCAGAATCATATATCGTGAAAAACTATCTACGAACGCAAACCATGTATCCAATTCCAATATGAAGGTCCGAAGCAGGATAGATCAACAGAATAACAAATACGCTTCATCTTGATCAGTTGAGGCAGTATCAAATTCAACCCTAAAAAAGGTCAAACAATCGAAAACGTGTCATAAAGGTAAATGGAAACGTACCATAAAGATATAATTATTAGAAACTAAAATATAAAAAAAACATAAATACACATATAGAAAATAAACGAGAAATAAAGAATAAAAACAGTTGGTGACTTGTATACGCAAATGTAATTAGTTTTTTTAAGTTAAATATAATTACAGAGTAGTATTTGTTCTAAATACTTTCAACTATTTGACAATGAACTTTCAATCATCTTTGCAGTCGTTGATACTCGAACCTATTACCTCTATAAACAACAACGATTCTTTTAATTACTGAGATAAATTGATTCGTATGCCATTGTAATTAATTTAACATTATTAAAAAGTAATTGACTAAATATTCAAAAAAAACCCATAAACTTATACATAAAGCCATAATGTAATGTATCAACGCTAAGAAGGTAATAATTAAAAACTAAATTCGTAATTTTTATTCCGTTCATGTCAACACTTGCATCAAAGACACGAGATGAAAAAATAATAATATTTTAATATATAGTTGACTATTTCTTATTTGAGATAATGAATATGGACAATCTTGTTAGTTAAAAGTTAGACAACATGTTATGATTTAAAATAAAAAATAAAACGAAAAATATTTGCCTAACACAAATTTGTACTCGTGATAATAAGTTATAGGTTTATAAGTATAAATAGCATTTAATAATAAGTTGATTTATACATAAAATGACAAACAAGTTGGTAATTACCCTTCATTATCGGCGGGCCATGAGCTAAAAAAATAAATTGTATTATATATTTATTTTTATTGATTTTTTATATCATTAATTAATTTTTTAAACATATAATATATTTTATCACTATATCCGATACTTACGAATTTATATTTTATATACACAGTAATTAATAGATATGTTAATCGGCCTAACTATGGCTTTTACATGATTGAAAAAGGGAGCCACGATTCCATTACCAGATTTGTTAGGTTTAACAAATCAATAATTCTCTCAAGCTCCAATTTTTATATATACAATATAATAACTCGTGAACATTTTTTATGTGAGTTTCATCTTTTCGTGAATTATCAAAAAAACAACTTTGATTGTTGACCCCACGGATTTATTGAGACGGAGGTGAGAGAGGAGAGTCGCACATGGCCAAGTCAAAGCAAAAAAAAATAGTATCGACGAGTGACTAATATATGTTTGGAAGAGAGAGGATTTGCAAAAGAGAAAGAGACAAATCTCCAAAATTTAATTATGGTTGAATAAATCTTGTTGATGGATGTTGGAATCCTATGTTCTTCTTCTCCTGTCTGCATGTGTGTGTCTAACGATCGGAGGAAACAAAAACATGATGTTTTTATGAAACATTGAATCCGCACTAGTTGATTTAATAGAAAGTTTAAATGTGAAACACTGAGCAGTCAAGCTCCATCATGTTACTAGGACCTGTTACTGCTGCTGCTGCTGTTTCCTGGAATCCATTTGCAGTTGTCCCACATGAACGATTGTTGGTTTACAAAAATCTGAGAATTTATCGTTTTTAGAACTGATTAAAAGAACTAAATGATAAAAAAAATATTCTTTAAAAATTTTAAACTCAAATAATTACATCTATAAATCATATATATTACTAATTTTAAATAAATATTATCTTATATTGACCGATCCAATAGGCTGAATTTACAAGATAATGTTGTGAGAAAAAACAAATTCACGAGGTAACGCGTTCCAACAATTAATTGTTGAGATAGGGTGTTTGCTACAGTTCGAATATAGATCGCCAGGTGATCTGGGCGACCAATGAAGGTCGCCAGGTGATCTGGGCGACCAATGAAGGTGCCAGGTGGTCTGGGCGACCAATGTTGGGCGGCGTTTGGGTTTGGGTTGTTTCACAAACAATATGCAGTGTTCTCATCTTAGTCAAACACCAGTTGTTTGGGTTAAATGCAAATTTGGTCCTCACAACTTTACACTCTCATACGTGTGTTTTAATATTTAGGGGATAATAGCATTTTCGGTCCCCTATGCTTTGTAATCTATTTGTTTAATCATTTAGTGACATTTTTAATGTTTTGTTTCAGGCATGTATATTTTAATAATTATATTTTAGTCACTAGTTGTTTATTCGGTCAAGTTTGTGTATGCTTCATTTTGATCATAATATTTTTAGTTATTTCATTTTAATCACTGATTTCATGTGTTTTATATATTTTCCTTAATTTTCGAAATTGGCCATGAAATTTGTAAACATGTTATTTTAGCCACTGTTTAGTATTTATGTTTAATTATAATTTAGTCATACATGTTTCTTGTTTATCCTATTTTAGTATGTATTTATTTCTCCCTACCAACGATATTATTTCGCAAATTTTTCCAATATAAAATAAAACTAAATAAAACTAAAAAATAGTGAAAAATACTCTAAATAAATAAACGTAGAACAAATAAAAATTATTGAATACAAAACAAGATATCCCAATAATCAATTTTAAAATAAATACATACTAAATACAAAACAAGATATCCCAATAATCAATTTTAAAATAAATACATACTAAAATAGGATAAACAAGAAATATGTATGACTAAATTATAATTGTTTGTGACTAAAATAAATACATGTATGAGAGTGCAAAGTTATGAGGACCAAATTTGCATTTAACCCAAACAATTATTGTTTGATTGTTTCTCCCAAACTCAAACGGCATGGATCGCCTGACGACCTTCATTAGTCGCTCAGACCACCCGGCGACCTTCATTCGACCTGTAGCAAACACCCTATCTCAACAATTAATTGTTGAAAAGCGTTACCTCGTGAATTTTTTTTTCTCACAACATTATCTCGTAAATTCAGCCGATCCAATATTCTGTTATCGATTGCTTTAGTAGCTGGATTCCATCTTTCAAATTTGGTAGGTGCCGATTGCCGACACATTTGGAAATTTCGGCTCTGACAGCTTATCAGAATGTCGGTCTGCATCGAGTCTTCCCACATTCAATCTTCTGAACTAGAAAGTGTTAATCTCAATCGAGTCATTTTCTTTCTCCACAAACATGTGGGTGTTCGATTTCTTCATCATGGTCATCAACGTCAAGGAATTTTCCGGCTATTTTGCTACTAAATTTCAACTCTGGTTTTATGCCAAGTTTTATCTTTGAATCCATCATCCTGTTCTTCCAAATTGATATTTGCCTATTAAAAAGTTAAAATAATGTGAATGGCCCACAATGATGCGTTGATAGGACATTGGAACTGTTCCAGATTTTGAAACAGTAACTGATATGAATAATATCATGATAGACAGATTATGTCTTGTCTAAACCTTTACGATATGATTCTACTTTGCCTGACCATACAAATCTTTTATAGAGAAAGTCGGGCCTCCTTGATCCACTTTTTCTTTTCTAAATTTTTTCACGTGCTTCCCCTCAAACGTCAGGTAACACTGAAACTAGTAGTGCTGGTGCATAAAAGAATATGGAAGCAGTTTCTGATAGAGATGAAAAATCTAAAGACAACTTGGCTCGTGTTCACATGCGCTGAAGAACTGGAAGTTCGGATTGTATAGGCTCAACCTGCTTAATGCATTCTCAAGTCATAAATGGTCTAAGCGATAAAATAGCGGCCAGCTTCAGAATCGGTGGACATGTCATATGATCATCTGCGAACAGGAACAAAACAGAAGGGCAGAACTAGATTTCTGTCCTTAATTAAATTTACGCATTATTAGTCCATAGTTCCATCGAACTTTCTGTGTTGCATTGAGAACTCTTTTTGGGTTGGATGATTTGTACGCCAGTCTTACTGCTGATAGGCAAGAGAAGAAATTTAGCAAAGTGAGTTACCTCAGGTTGGTAGTTGTTGGAGTCGTTTCCATTCATTCTCGAGGAGAGCTCCTGAAGATCTGGTGGAGGTTATGGACCTTTTGGAGTGAGACAAGTTCTAAAGTGACGATCTGAACATAAAGGAATACACGGTGTCATGTCAGAGTTGAGACTTCGGGACACACTTCTTGCCTTAGTCAGTTCAAAGATGGGAGAAAAGATAATAAAACAGTAGAAAGATGGTGTGAATAGATCAGTAGAAAAAAGAGACTTAGGAAAATGATACCTTTTTGAAGGACTTTTATAAAGGTATGTGACCTCGGAGGCCGAGGCTCGGGGCAGGTGACTTGGTTGATGGTTTAGGATAAACGTCAAATGATCCCAAGACACAGGAGCTACATAGCAGGAAGTTGTTGTATGCTACCGGTTGAATACCAGTCTAACGGTCTTCAGTGATTGGTTTGACAGTCATAATGAAACCAAGGTTAATACCAATAACTAAACCGAACTTTATGAGAGAAGAGAAATAACCTAAAAAGTTGAGCTCCTGATGTCTGAGAGCACCTAAAACCCTAGATTAGCGAAGCCACTTGTGAGGCAACACGTAATTCATAACATTCATCAAGCATGAATGACCTCCAATTTCATCTGTCAGGTACAAGTGTAGTCAATAATAGGGAATCATGTGATGATCAACGTTTGCTAAAAATCACCCACCACAGGATATGTTCAACTTTCTGCCTTGTTCAACAAAATAAAGCATGTAGCAAATCCTGGAGGAAGCAAACTATAGAAACCAAATATCAAACGTCAGCTCTTGTGGAAATCCTACTACAAATTCATATTTAAGCAATTTATAGCAAGTCTTAAATGGTTAGGGAATTGAATTTCTTAATGTCATTTGCAGAACCATTAATTACTTGCTTTTATAATTGCACTAAGCTTGGAAAAGAATCTGTAATTAATACGAAACATTACAGAGCTTGCATTGAATCTGCCGTAGATGACTAAGCATAGGTGTTACAACATGTATGATATGAAAAGTAAAAATCACTAATACCAGAAAAGGGTGACAGCTATCCAATATGGAAAAAGCAGAGCTGTTAGTATCGGTTATTCCTTACGAGGAAAAGGATTTCAAGTAAGAGAATTACAAATTTGTAAGTGTTTTTCCTTTAATATGTGGGGTTCAAAATACCATATTACCATCAAAGGTAAATTTGGGCAAAATGACTCTACAAGCCAAGGATAGAAGCTAAAGTGACCAATTTCAACCAGGTCGTACATGATGATCACATTAAATTTTAAGTTCTATATTGGTATTATAATTCCATTATAAAAATCAGAACAATCAACTCAACATAAAAGCTGCGAATGCTGCATAAATGGCATCTAACAGAAGGCAAAGTTGAAGTGGAACAACTACAAGAAGCATTGAAAGAGTTAAAGAACTTTGATGTTACCAAAGATACACAAAAGTATCACTACTTTATCAATTTATTGTACATTGCAGTCGGTAGCCATTTGGTCTAAGGCTAAACAAAGAAAAGAGAACACTGAATACAAGTTCCCCAGAATTCTACTTCTGTTAGGGTTTTGGAGACAATAATCAACCTCATGAAATAGTAAATAGATACATCAAATATCCTTGTCAATACGGCTCTTCTCCATAGATATACAATCTTCCTCCTAGGATTGTTTATTATAATCTTCAAACTAACTAGCAAATGGACTTTAGAGTGTTGAACATTTGGAAAGGAAAAGCATATGAGGTCAGTTTTCAAATACATACAACATACTGCAAGCAACGATTTCTGTTCAGGATTTAGTTTTGAATCCCCAACACTACTTCTATGGAACTTTTTCACATGGTTCCTGTATATTTCCCATCAATCAAAGTCAAAATTACAACCAACAAATGTTCATCCAAAGTACTGGTTAAAGGTTTAGTTTTCAATGCCCAGCAGAACTTCAATGAAGCTGGATTGCACTATCCATCCTATACATATCTCATATTGCAATCCCAAAGTAATAACCACATTATATTCGTCCAAAACCACTTCCACCATGATCAGTATACTAGAAAGAGCACCGAAAATTTTTGAAGATTTTGTGGCAGAGTATTCAAATGTGCTGATAAGCAAGATTTTGAGGGGTCGCGTTACTAAAACGAATGAAGGCGACTCCTGACAACTTGTGCCAGTTTCATAGAAAATGTATTTTTAGCCAGGATGACAAGGATATTCAGAGTCATATCTAATTAACGAAGAAAGAGTAAAAAGGACGAAACAAAAATATCAAAGATTTTCAACAATTTCATATACCTCATTTGCATTGAAAGAATATGGTGTTTTGCTGGATACAAGAGCTAGGAAAGTCTAATCAATAATCCAATCCTCAATCGCCATTTTTTTTAACCTTTTTCCTATTAAAAATAGTTTGGTTAAAGTTGCTTTCCGAACTAACATTAAAAATCAAATCTTGGAACGATTCCTCAAAACAACCAATATGTATCAAATAAAAATAGTCAAATTTGACAATATTACCTTGAAAGTTTAGAGAGTTGCTGCTTCTTCAATTCGGCAGGCAGGGGATTGAAAAATCAACGGTAACAATCTTTTTCTCCTTTTTATTCTCTATAATTAGAGATCTAAATCCGGGAATTCAATTGGGGAAAAAGAAATAAAGAGATTGGCAGATAACAACTTGAAAAGAGGATCAAGAAAGAAAGATAACGAAGTGAAATGAAAAGACAGATTACGAGTTTGTGCGTGAATCTAACATGAAACAAATCCACCTTTTCATCCTTGGTTTTATTAGATTCACGCGCAAGCCTGAAATCTGCCTCTTCCCTTTTTTTGGTGGCTTTCCTCTGGCTTACCCATCAACATGACGTTCGAGGTCACCGTGTGAATTTTTGACCGTCGGTGAGGTATTTTTTTTGACAAGACCGTCAGTGAGGTAAGAAGTACGAAGATAGAGACAAATCTACAATAACCGATTAACCGCCGCCAAAAGTTAAATTCCCTGAAATTGACAAATATCTATGTGTTGGGGCTGATCCTCTTACGTCGTGGCTTTTGGGCTAGCTGACTGAACTAGGCGGGCCTGCTCTGATCTGCTTCTGTTGAACCAAGAGGGTCGTCACTTAGTGCCCTTTCAAGCTCGCTTCTAAGGAAAATTTAATCCCGTGTATCTTTTTAATCATGTGCGTTCATAATTTTTTTTAATCATTAATAATGTATATTTTATTGAACTGTTTGAATACAAAATTTTCAAGAAAAACAAAACTTCTTATAACCATTGAAATCACTAAAATTATCAGTGTTTCACTTTCATATAAAAGTAATAATAATGCCTTTAATCTTATGTTGATAGGATCTTACTACTCAATTAAATTAGGTTAAAGTAAAAAAAACGTCTATCGATTATGAGACGCTACTTTGTTGAGTCCTTCAACTATTAAGAATTACAAAATGGTTCACCAGTTATAGTATATTGCTATGTTGAGTCATTAACTATTAAAAGTTACAATAATCACCCAACTATTCATATGTTCCAAAATCATCTTTTTTTCATTAGAAAAGTGACATCCTTTTGAGCTAAACGTTAACATGTTAATTGAGATATGATAAAATTTGATCCCAAAATCATTTGATATATATTTTTTGGGTCGAGTCTCTGTTTGCAGTATATCGTCGAACCAATGCTTGAACATTATATCGCCGAACCAATGCTTGAATATTATGTTGTCGAACCAATGCTTAAAAGTAACAACAATTCTAATAGATATCATTAAAATATAATTTTATCATATACCAATTAGTAGATTAATATCCAACTCAAACGACCATTAATATTATAATATAAAATGACGAGTTTAGAATATATAAATAGTCGGGTGACCATTTTATAACTTTTAATAGTCGGAGATTAAAAAAATGCCCTATTGTCGGAGGACCATTTGTGTATTTTATTATCTTGTGTATTTTATTATCTAGTAAGTTATTATGTCTATTAATGTATTCAAATAATTTAAAAATAAATTATTATTATTATTATTATTATTATTATTGGTAGAAACAAATGAATTATCGTTGACGATTCACTCATTTTAATTAAGGTAGAAAGTCATACTAGTGTAGGAATGACGGTTAATCAATGATTATTTATAGGAAGAAAAAGGTGATGTGGATATGAAGGTGAATAATATATATGAAATTGGACGAAAGAGAGAGACAAATCCATTCTTTAGTCTTTCTTTAACGTATAAATATCACGATTATAGGATAACTAGTGTTAGACTTAGGGTCGTCATACTTGTTAATACTTAATAGGATTTCATGTTATACAAACCTACCTGTTAACTATTGGATTTAGCTCTGTTAAAAGCCACGTCAAAGACAAAAAGGTATAGGTTTTAGAGAACAATTCTAACGAAGGATGATTCTAGAGATATTGGGGTCTCCGAGAGTTTTTATTGATGAAAATTTAATAATTTCTGGAGGATATTCTACCAAGATATAACACATTAAAGATATTTTAATTTTTATAATAAACATAAATATTAAATTCGATCACTAAAATAATCTATCCATTTCCCTCTTATTAAATAAAGAAGCTTAAAGGAAAAAGTTCCATATAATTATGCCATTTTTTAAAGTATGTAAACTATATTTATTGAAAAAACAAATTTTTAAATAAATATTTCATAATCATTTTAGAATTTTTTTAAGAAATAAAACGTTAACATAAAATAAAAATTTAAATATTCAAAATAATTGTTATGAAATAATTTAAATCATTAAAGTAAAAAAAACATAATTTAGATTATTTTTTAGTTTAAGCCAATAAAGAAAAGACCTTGAATTTAATATTCAAGGCCCAAACCCAATAGTTTTATCTACTATTTTTCTAAGGAGCAAGGGGGTTTGGGCAATTCATGCAACACTACACTTGCGGCAATAAAATGAGACGCTGCGTTTAAGACAAGCAGATTGTCTCTTGTATTTTGCTTCTTCTCTTGGAAGGGAGCTTCAACGCAGTCGCTCCAAAAGCAAAAACCCTAAACCCTGATCAGGGCTTAATTTTTAATTTTATCTTAAAGCTGCTCCTTTTGTTACCAGGCTTTCCCCGAAAAAAGTTAAGAATAGTTTTGATTTATTGGCTAACTATTAGGTTCGTGGTTCATATCTTTTAAACTTTCCAACAATGGCTGTCGAAGGAAGCAAAAAATCTCAAGCATCAGCGTCTCTACCCCCGCGCAAAATCAACTTACAAAAATTCGCAGATTCCAGAGCCGCCGAGCTCGAGTCACTTCACTCAGCTGTGTCAGCTCGACTCAATAACGACTTTAGGTCTCGTAGAAACAAGAGGAGGAGGACTACAGCATTCGACAATCAAGCTTCCAAGAAAAGAAACAGAAAGAGGCAGAGATTGACTAAGGTTGATAAAATCAATGTTTCGGGTTTAGAGACGGAGCAGAAGAAGAACGAATCTCCCCTTCCACGCCGCGTTCGTCGCAGAATGGAGCTTAAAAAGAATCCCGAAAGCGGTTTCGTTACTTCAGGTGATGGAACTAAGAGGTTGAGAACGCATGTTTGGCACGCAAAGCGGTTTACAATGGCTAAACGGTGGGGGTTTTATCTTCCCTTAGGATTGCAGGGCAGGTATATAACTTAATCGTTTAAGTGTTTTGATTGTGTAGGAAAAAAAGACCAAATTTTTACAATTCCTCTTTTGAAATTCCTTTGTTTATATGATATAGAGGAAGGGGATCGAGGGCAGTTTTGAGGTGGTTCAAACAGGGAGTGCTTCTCCATGATGCGAGCTATAATCTTGCTGTTCAACTGGAAGGTCCAGAGGCAGGCGCTTCCCTTTTTTTGTTGTGTTTCTTTTAGTTGATTTTAGTAATAATTTTCAGATGGTTTACTTTATTATTTCTTATCTGTTCCCAGGATTCATTAGTGGCAATATTAGAGATGGTTATGGTTCCTTCTACATCAGTTAAATCTGATTGCGATTCTGGTTCTGTTCTTTCTGGTGTTACTTACGGAACTGCTATGGTAAGTCGCTCTTGCACCTTTTCTTATGATTAAGAAATATTGATACTAATTTACTTGCCTTTTTTTCAGCTTCATCATGTTGGAGCACCTTATTCGCAGCCAATCGCACCTGTAAATTATATGTGGCATCCTCATCGGCAGAGTAAAGAAGAGGGCAATAATAATTGCCTTGATGTTGTTAAATGTAATGAACCATGTAGAGTCAACTATAGTTCTTGCTTTTGCCAACTTTGGGTTTGGATACATGCCTCAGCTTTTTGTGAGGGATATGATACTCTTAAATGTGCTTGTGAGAAACTGGTAAATCATCCATCTTTTTACTTTGTAAGAATGTTTAAATTATAGTACAATCTCGTGAAGCTCATGAGTGTGAGCAAGCTATTTCATTTGGTATCACATAGACATTAAAAAGAGAGACATACATATCACGTTCTGTTATCGTGTTGCATGCTGAGTTCTTAATTATTTTCCAGATGATTGATAGAGGTGTCACCATTAATTGTTTTTCACGTGAGGGTCAGCTTGCAAAATTGGAATTAATTGGGTGCAAGGCATTTCAACTTCTTCAGAAGACTGTTCACCCTGACTCATGGTTAGTTATTTGGGTTAGATTCTGGTTTTGAACTAAGATAAGAAATTAAAATGAGCTAAACAGGTTGATTGCCCTTGCAGCATAGTGGATAGTTCCTGGCAACTGCAAAAGTGTTCAGCTGAGAAGGACAGTGTTGAATTTCAAAACGAGGAACATATTCGTTCTTGTGCAATTCTATCTTTTACTATCAAGGATCCTCGTTTATTGCCCGCTAAAGAGACTGTAGATTTTCGTGAGCCGGATTCAATCATTGATGTGCAAGAAGTTGGAGTCAGTGAATGTGTTAACTTAACTGAAAATTTAGACAAGAAAGAAGAGCTAGGTTCACTCTTATGTCCAAAAGCTGAAGGAAATGAAAATTTATCTGACAATAACTTGTGGGATGCGAGCAGTAGAATAGATCCTCCAGAGGAAGAAAATGAACTTTGTATGGAAAAGCATCAGCAGCGGATGGGTTTCTTTTGCCTTGATGATCCAAAATCAGGCCCCCCAAAGACTTCAAACAAGGTGCAGTGCTCGCGTTCTTGCCCTATTTTGCTTCTAAAAAACAATAACAAGAAGGGCTCTCCTATTGGGTAACTACTTTGTTCCTTTCGCTCCAGATATTATTTCTTGTAAGAAATCTACTTCTCCAAAATTTGATGGATAAGAATTCATGTCTGCATTATCCTTCTTTGCATTTGAGGTTCATATATCATACCAGTTTGACAAAGGACAGCAAATGGTTCGAGTTTGTTGTTACATTACATAACAAAATTTTGGCGTGTAATTGTGACATATGTCTTCTATTTCACTAAAAAAATATCTTGAGCCAAAAGCAGCAGCACCATAAAAGTTTGAGAGGGGAGAGCTTTACCTTAGACAAGCACAATGGAGACGAATGGTCTAGTGTTTGCACCGTTAAGTCTTATTTGTTGAGGCAAATGGCTGGATAAAGTTGTTTGACAGTGATATTTCAATGCTGCTTTAGATTTAGCTTGATAGATCTGGCAGGATTTGCCAATTGTCTTATCCCTATGATCTTATATTTGTTTGCCATTATGGAGGCCAAATATTCTCTTTGAAAATTTCTTGATCCAGAAATGTCTTGGAACTCATTAATGATTTTTCTTCGCTCATTCTTGGTTGCAGATGGTCTGTTATACTACCTCTAAGTTGGACCAGGGTCTTCTGGAGTTTTCTCGTCTCCAAAGGGGCCCATGTGATAGGGCTGAGGGAAAAACGCTGGATTGCTGGTGAAGTAAGTGCTTGGTTCTGAGAATCCACAGTATTGGAATGCCCACTTATCCAACCCTGGATGTTAATTTCCCCCCCAATTTTGCAGATTGGATTGCCTTATTTTCCTTCAGATTTCCCTGACTGCCATTCCTACTTATCCTTGAATGAAATTGAAGCCGCTGCCTCTAGGGAAAATGCGGAGCGGCGTCCTCCAGCTGTACGACCTTTCAGAATTCCAATTCCATCACCTTGGAATGTTGTACATGTTGCTTTTGACAAGCTAACCATGAGGGTAAACGAAGCAGCTAAAGTTTCAAGTGGTGAAAATATAGTTGGTACTTCAAGTTGTGAAAGAAGTGATGTAACATCATTCAGATCTCGTAATTCCTTTGATGCCATTGTAGCAAGGACATCCAGTATGCTGACTGGCTTCTTGAATGGCATTCAGGGTGAACATTTACTTATATTTCCTCAATTGCAAAATAGGAACTCAAGTCTTGTTAAGGTTATGAAGGACAAAAGCATGATGGAAAAAGGCCAAAATGGGACTACACAAATTAGCTACAGACATAAGTTATGTTTTGTGAGGGTTCATCTTCATGCATACAAGGAGGGTGTTTTTGAAGAAGGAGCTGTTATATGTGCACCATCTCTTACTGATATATCAATATGGACATCCAGGTAGTCATTTAATAAATGTATGTTTATTACAAGTGGTTCTTAATTTAAAATGCATGACCGTAACCATGTGACAAACAAACTGTTGTGCAAAAGGATTAATCGAAGTGCATGCTCTGATCCTTTTCTCTGGTTGCAAGTATCATCCATTTTTAATCTAATAAGAGTGACTTTTGATTTGTCCTTGACGCATCTTTGATTTGAATTGATAAATTTCTGTTATCCGCTAGATTAATCGGTTGAATTTGGATATTTTGCAGCATAGACAGCATTGAAGGTGGACTTGAAATGCCTAATTCTGCTGTGGGGTCATATTTTAAAGAACAACCTTCTGGTAAGTGGGAACTCCAGGAACCAGATGACCCTGCTTCTATAGAATATCATCGGTGGCCAGTCGGGTTTGTCACCACTGGATTTGTTAGAGGGAGGTTAGTACATGTTTTTTCCAATATTGAATTTAGATACCATTCAGTATCGACTATAGAAATTATTTTAGATCATCTCCGGTTTTGCATAGTGATTTTCATTTTATATATGCAGCAAAAAGCCAACGGCAGTGGCGTACTGTGAGGCAGTCTTGCTTGCTTGTCTGAGAGAAGAGCAGTGGAAGGAGATGGCAGTGAAGCGTAGGAGGAAGGAAATATATGTTCTTGTTAGGAACCTTAGGTCTTCAGCATATAGACTTGCTCTTGCCACCATTGTCCTGGAACAACAAGAAGAGGATGTGAGATTCTTATGAAAAACTGTTCGGGAGATCATTTGGAGACATTTAAGACTTGTTTCCCGCTCAACAGCTCCCCTTATACCTATTCCCAACGGCTAGTGGCAACGAGGAATCATTTGTTGATTTTCTCGGTATATTAATATAAGAATTGATGACTTAAATAGAAAACTATTTTTTGGGGGAAAGGAAAAAAAAGCAGCTAGGCGATGAGGGTGATAAGTGTTTTTTATTTTCATTTTATAAGAATAATAATAATTTTTTTGTTGGGAGATTAATTCACCAAAATTACGGATGTGACGTGGATCAATTCGATTTGGATTAATCATGACAAAATCTTGAAATTGGGAGGGGAAAAATAATTATTTGATACTCAACTGTAAACATCATACTTTTAACTGTAAAAAAAATAATTAAAGGTTCAAGCATTTACCCCATGAAAACGAAGCAAACACGAAAATGTTTTGGACTTGAATCAATGACACCCGGAAGGCCGACACTGCTCCGTAAAGATGGAAGAGGTAATCGAGGCCATTATTTTTGCCATGTGCTACCTCCCCAGGCTTTGTGACAATGAAAGGGAGTTGTTTTTTTTCCCGTCCATATCACCATTTTCATCATCGTTTCCCTCTAATTCATCTTCTTCATCGACTTCGACAACCTTCTTCTGCCCTTTCCGGTATCGTATCTTCTTCTTTCCACTGCCACCTCCCACATGCACCCTCTAATTTCATCTCAGGGACGAATCTGTCATAAATAAATATTTTGAATTTAAATTTTAAATTATTTTAATATTGATTTTTTTAAAACATTCCCTTTTTTAGATTGTATCTTAAAAACTTTTAGTCTAATCATACACTTTGTCCATCTCTTTATATGGCTTTCAGCTACGTTACTATTGTGCATGTATTCAATAATGCTTTTACTCTTTTCTTTAAGTTTTCTTAGGCTTTTCTTGGTATGATTCTTTCATGCATAAACTTTTCTTAGGCTTTTACTCTTTCTTTAAGTTTTCTTACGCTTTTCTTGGTATGATTCTTTCATGCATTAACTTTTCTTGGTATGATTTTTGCATGCAAAGTTTTCCTGAGTTATGCCTTAATTTCCTACTATTTCTTTTATCATAGCTTTAATGGGAGACACCGAGAGGGAACATCTGCTGCCGAAGAAGAAGCTCTAGGTGACATGGAAGTACATATGACTTTTGATGATAATTCGTCTGATCCATTAGCAGGTGACATAGATTTAGATGCGACCTTTGATGATTCGTTTGATTCATCTTTTGATAACTCATCTAATCCATCGACAAGTGACATAAAAGTAATGATATTTGAGCAGATGACATGAAAGTAGATGTGACCATTGATAACTCGTTTGATCTATAAGCATGTGACAAATAAGATAATAAGAATTGCAATATTAGCTTAAAAAGGATTAAACCCAAGCTCTTGGGAGGGATAACTTAGGATTAAGCCGCTGGACCAAGCTTAGTTATTGTTTATATTCTTATATAATATTTACATGGAAAAAATATTTGATGTAAGGTTAAAAAAAGAGAGAGAGATTAATATTTGATGTAGAATTTACATGGAAAGAATATAGTTCACTTTGATTTGAAGAGTCAAGAGTGACGATTTATTTGTCAAATTCAATCTTCGAGATGCAAGGATAGTACTCGAGGTCTAAGTTTTGCCAAGACTGGTTGTGATCTTATGTCACGTGTTTGATTTCTATTAATTTTTTACCTTCATATTCATGGTTTTCAGAACCGGACCGGTTAGCGAACCGGCCATGTTACCGGTTCACTGGTTCAACCAGTCGAATCGGTTCGATCGGTCGGAAGAACCGGACGACGTCATAATTATTTAAAAAATTAAATAAAAATACCAAAAATATTTAATAAAAACTAATTTTTTATATCACAAGTCATATTCAAAGCAAGTCATAACATATTTAAATTAAAAATCATAAAATCAAGTTAAACAAAATGATTCAAATTAACTACAACATAATATTTAAGGTAAAACATATTAAATAATAAATATAATTATATAACTATAATTAAAAAATAAATTTGGGGCTAAAAAAATCTTAAAAAAATGATATTGTTTGGTTTAATTTTTTTTAAAAACAATCACACATGGCTAAGAAACATAGAAGAGCATCCCAAAAGTCTAAAGAGTAAAAATACGAGAACAAAACAATCCCACATTGCTAAGAAACATAGAAGAGCATCACAACTAATTTCTATAAATAATAGAGGTAATTTGACATTCAAAATCATGGATCCTTTTGGTGAGTATTGAGTGAACTATTCTTTCACTTCAATCAAGCTCGAATTTTAGGCTTCAATTGAGCTTCTAAATTTTTTTTTAGTTCAAGCCTTTTTGAGTTCAAGTTTCAATATTATATTTCTAGTTCAAGTTAAACTTGATAATTTTTAACTTGTGAGTTTGAGTGGAGTTGAGCTTACTTTTAAAGTTTTCAAGTTCGAGTTGAGCTCAGCAATACTCGAGTTCGACTTGACTTGTTTAACAAACGACGTTTGGTTTAATTTAAAAAAAAAAAATTCCGATTTTTTCCGGTTTTCAGCCGGTCCGGTTCAAACGGTTCAGTGGTTCTGACCGGTTCACTAATAATAGTTCAACTGGTTTAGATTGAACCGGACTAAGTAACGATTCCCGATTGAACCGACCGATCCGGTCTGATTTTCAAAACAATGTTCATATTTTAATAAGATGATACTTACATTTGCATACATAAAATATTTTCACAAATTTTAATATAAATTAAATTTAATTATGCGGTTGGGGTTTTATTATTTAACGTCTTAGATTTGGTTTTTGTTGAGTTTGTGTGAATATTTTTTAATAGAATAATGATATATATTATTTTATTAAATGGTTATTTTAAATTAAATAAATTTTAAGAAATAAAATTATTATAAATATTACATCATTTTTAATAAATTAATTAGATATAATTTTATAAAAGAAATAGTTAAAGGATTAAAATAGAAAATCGAACAAATGAGGTACAGAATAGTTAGTTTATCTTATTTAAATTTTGTCGTTATTGTGTGGAAAATTTCTAAATTGAAATTAGAACACTGGAAGAATCGTAAAACGCTTTAGTTGGATCTTCCCTGTGCTTACACGAAGAGATCAACTTCAAAGACCAGAAAAAAATAACAAAAACTCCAGTTTCCCCTTTTCATTTCTTACTCTTTGTCGACGAGACTAACGCTAAATCACAGGTATTCCCCCCCCCCTCCTCTCTTGATTTGTAGTTACGGGTTTGAACTTGACGGTGTCATAACTGTTTTCTTCCAATTCCTGTTTTTTTCAGAGATAATTCTCTGTTCTAGGGTTTTTTTTTTCAACCGGATGAAAAATTCAAGTTAGGATATATCCTTTATATTTTCTGTGCTTAAGTTTTCATATATTTCAATTTTCAACTCTTAGATCTTCGAATACTCAACTTCAGCCTTGATTCTTGATACTATAAACTTTGCAAATTTCTCGTAGCTTTGGTCTTTTTTTTTTTTGCGTGTCTGGAATTTAAGTTTAAACAATTGGGCATTTCTTATATCTGTTGATCCAAATCTGCAAAGTAGAGCAATAAAAGGTGTTAAATCTATGTTACACGGATTCCAGGATGAGTGTCACGAGTATGCTCAATTTGTTCCAAGCCTTTTTATATATTTAGGAGATCATGCCTTACACTCTTATCCGAAATATGTGGATTTTCGTACACTCAATAATATGTTTTTGTGTGCATATCTTGAACTAAAAAAATGTGGTTTAGTTATTGCTTCATATCTAGTAATGAGTTTATTGGCTCTAGGATTTGACTCGAGTTTTTGTTTCTAAATTCAGGGTTTTGTTGTTGGAACTGAAGTTTTAAGGTGATGGCGAGGATCAAACCTCAAGCTCTGCTACAACAAAGCAAAAGAAAGAAAGGGCCATCTCGAATAAGTCCTACAACAATTATAATGTCGACTTTGATTTTTGTTTTGATTGTGTTTTTTGTCTATGCCTCCTACAGACATTGGACTCAAAGGTTCGTTCAATTTGGCAGTTGGGAGTGGGATTTAATGCTGCAATGCTTTTAAACTTTATTATGTGCACACTTTGTTGATTCATGTAATTTACTGCATGGCTTGCTAATTTTAGAGCAGTACATTTAGAAAGGAAGTTGCTTGTAGAGAATAAATTGGCTAATATTTATTAGTCAGTAAATAAGTATTAGCTATAATTTAAAGTATTACTCAGTGAAATTTGACCCATTTTTCTTTCTTTAGGTCAAGAATGCTTATAGAGAACAAGCAATCAGTTATCGAGGTACTCTCTTGAGAATCTTACTTATCATTCTAAAATGGCTTTTTTTATCCTCATGGTCTTGTATTTTTTTATAAGTCTTTGTTTTGTTTATATCAATTGAACTCTCAACTCCGTGCCCAGTATCAATGTATCATCTTTTAAGAACATTTGAAAGCAACTTTTCTCTTCTCTTGTGTGAACATGTATCCTTAGTTTATGAGGCATTTTACGTGTTTGTTATTTTTATTTCTAACTTTATATCCTCTCTAATGACCGTGGCCACTTGTATTTGGTAGGGTGACAACTCTTTCATGGATTCCAAGAAATCTGATCTCCCAGGATACGCTGTAGGTTCCTTTACTCGCTAAGGTCTTCCTAATTAATATACTATGCCTGTGTGAATAATGTCTACTTTTTTGTAATACTGGCCTGGAATGTGCTGTGCCTTGTTTTGGGAAACAATATTGACCCTAGATGATTAACTTATAATGTGGTTCTATATCCAATGCAAATATCCTTTGTATGTTTAAGTAGCATTCTGCTAGTAAGTTTTTCTTCACTTTGCAGGCACTTGTCTATTACGTACATGACTTCATCAAAATACATTACAAAAGAATTTCTTGTATCATGTTCTTGGTTGAATCACCCATTAAGAAAACATATTTCATTAGCATATCTCTCAATAAGGCATTTGATATGTTATTCCTTTTTTCTTTTCAATTGTATCTTACTATCTTGACAGATACTTTTGGTCATGAATGAAATTTAGTTGATATGTTCATTTATTACTTTATCTTACTTGTAGGGTTTACATTTAATACTTATTTAAAATGAGTTTTATCCGTTGTCTTAACTCTGCTTTCTCCCCTCTTATGACTAGATTTTAGATACCACTAAAGGCTCTATAACAGTGGAGCTCTTCAAGGACAGTTCTCCTGAAGTTGTTGATCAATTTCTTGATTTATGGTAAGTACTGGAATCAGTGTTAATTTTACTTAAAATAATGATTTTCTTTATTTATAACTATCATAAAATACATGTGATCAATATTTGAACTGGAAAAAATGTTGTAGTTAGAGCTGATCAGCTGAACAGTTCATGCTTTGAAAGAATCAAGAATAGTTTTGAATTATTTTTCTAAATCAAATTTCAGTTATATTGCTGAATCATAGGCTGTAATCTTGAAGAATTCCATCTGTGGCGTTGACTTTGTTGGTTGAACATTATGCATCATCTCTATCTATGAAGTCATGGAATTTGTCACTATAGTTTTAATCCTTAAGAATCATGCTCAGAGTTCGATTTAAATTGGAAAATTCGTTTAATGGAATAGATGTGGGCTCCATTTAGTTTAGATTAAGTGGTAAATCAAGTTCAGCCACATTTTTAGTGTCTTATCTGGGTAATAAAACAGATCAATTTATTTTGTGCTTTCAAGTAGTTAGTGTATGTGGGATGTGCAAAATGCATGGTTTAGTTAATCATGGAATAGGCAGGCAGGCTAACACCTCTAGGAAGGCAATGCCAGAATGTCATTCTTTTTACTTTTAGAAATATTTTCCCTTTCCTCCCGCTGAACATGGTGCGGTACTGAATTTCATTAACTGGTGCAAAGGAAACCTGTGTCCTTTCATCCTCACATATCATGAATTTGATTGATATGCAGTCAGAGAGGACGCTTCAATGGAATGCTTTTTCGCCATGTGATAAAGCATTATGTGATTCAGGCTGGCGATAGTGATAAGTTGGGAGCTGTAGAGGACTGGACTTTGAAAGGAAAACAATACAGCCAACTCGATACAAGGTTAGTGTACATTGATCAAATTCAATCACTCTTATTGTCCTCTTCATTGATTAACCGTCCTGACTAAAGCTAGGCAGTGGTTGCTTTTTGTTGTTACTTACATTATGTAATGCTCAACCAGTTTGAAGCATGAAGCATTCATGCTTGGAACTTCTAAGGCAAAGCATGATGATAAAGGATTTGAGCTTTTCATTACAACTGCACCAATCCCAGATCTAAACGAGAAGCTTATTGTCTTTGGGAAGGTCATTAAGGGAGAAGACATTGTTCAGGTAACAAGCAAAGTTCTGTTTTTGTTTTTTTCCTCCTGAAATTGGTTATCATTACTCATGGTTGGATGCATTAAATGTAACCGAATCATCGTATTTTTAACCTGCCTATCGGTTGAAGTTATATTGAATGTGTTTTAATTTTGCCCAGGAAATTGAAGAGGTGGACACAGATGAACATTATCGACCTAAATCTTCAATAGAGATCCGCAATGCGACCCTGAAACAAAGCATCTAAATCAAACACAAGGAAATTATCCGAACAAAGTTTCGTCACACCATCATTTAAATGGTTCAGAAGAATATATGGTGCATTCTTTATTTGAGCTTCTAGCATTTTCCTTTATTTTCTGTTTCCGAGTCTATTTTGATATGGTAATGGACACTGTATTTGTAATTTAAAAAGTAGAATAAAGTGGATGAGATGTAATTTACATGTGCAACTCCAATAGATAGGTTGAGAATGATATCGTTACTGTTCTTTTCTGACTCGATTTTCATATGCAATCTTTTTGTTCCGCTAGTGTATGCAAAATTTCCACGTGCTACTTGGAACGTTATTGAACCGTAAGCATCATACGGATAAAAGAAAACATAAAAAAATTTTACATGTTAAATGGCAAATTGTTTATAATTATATATTTATTAGTTTCATATCCAGTTCCTGGAAAATATATTTTAGATTTCCTATTTGAAGATTATGGAAAAGATTAAAAATGTATTTTAGATTCACATCGTTTTGATATGATAAAGTTCAGTAGTATTTAATTTTCTCTTCATTTTATATTGATTATTTTGATCTCTAGGGAGTAATTATTAACGGTCCTCTTTGGTTATTTATATTATCAAGGAGAAAACATGGCAAGATTTTATGGACAGTTGTTGGTTAGATTGAGGGGAAAAAGATGTATCGAAGTACCTTGTAGGCTGGTATTTTCAAATATTATATGTAAGCTGGCCGTTGAGCAGATTTCCATCCAACTTTGATGTCATTGACGTTCTGAATGTTGACGCATAAAGGTTTCCATCATTCCATTTCATCTATTGGGCTTGTTAACCATGCATTTCAGATAAATGAGAAACGAGAGAGTCACAGCCATAATTTTATACCAGGATCTCTCTATACCAGATATCGCCAACATGCGTTAATTGCTTATGGGATAGCTGTTGGTAGGAAGTCAAAATTTACGCACATTATTTGAAACCGCACACACCTTTAGAATTGAAGCAAAGAGGAATTGAGCATTTTCCCAGCCGTTTCAGCTCATAACAATTTCAAGCCTAGTGGCTCAAACTCTCGCAACTCCAAGCTTAAATTTAAACAAATCATGAAAAACAACTTGTAAGGTGTACCTTACAACACCCTCCAATGCCTATGGTATAAATACTGCAGAACCTAAGGCAACCTTAATGGGAGAAAAAAGGTCATTCACTTATATAGCTATAAGTCAAAGCATATGTTGTTACATCCACTTATTAATCCCATTGCTCCCTGTTTGCTATTTACGTAAGAGTCATGAAATGGTTCAGCCGTTCAGGTAGTTTAATGCAAGAGAATGATGCACTATTGGACCTATTTTTCCAAAAAGATTCCACTGCTCCTAGAAATTATTATTGCATCTATCAACAAACTAAACATTCTCCACAAATAAGAACACAAGATGGAAAGATAGTGAACAAATAAGAATGCAGAAACAAAAAGTTCTAGATGTGTGTATATATATATATATATATATATATATATATATATATATATATATATGTGAAATTGAACTGAATACTGAACAGAAAGCAGAAACAGGACTTACTAAGCATGATAAGAATACAGAAAAGGTTAATTCAAAGGCATGAACAGAAAATTTCTTGTTTTATGTAAATAGCATTGTCCATGGATGTATAAAGCCTAACGGTCCCATCCAGATGGCCTCCGTCTTTCTCTAGGCCTATCTCTTGAACTGCAAAAACAAAGCCACGAATGAGCTTAATTGAGCATGGAATGGTAAAATTAAAAAGAAGAGAAAAACATTGCAGAATGCTAGCATAAAATTAGCTAAGAAAAGGAACCTCTCTGAGTTCCTTTGGCTGGTGTTTTGTCCAGTATTTTGCGAATTATTCAATCCTGATGATGGAGCAGTGCTGAATGAACTAGCTATCTGAGACCTATTCAAATCTTCACCTATGGTACCACCAGATACAAATCCAGTCAGAGTTGGTCTCCTAATGCTTGAGCTGTTACTGGAGCCTTGATTTTGAGAGTTTGATGAGGCAGCTACAAAGTTACTCCTAAATTGTGCCATCATGCCAGTTTTCAGAGAATTTACTGCAGCATTTCGACTTTGAACAGGTTGAGATGCAGCATTACTGGATTCTGCATTATATCCAATACCCAGACCATAATCAACACCACGAACGCCTCGACCACTCCCACCCCCACCACCCCTTCCTCTGCCTTTCTTCCCACCTGCATGTTATAGCACACATCAATTGTAAGTTCAAGACAGGTCCATAAGTACAGAAAACATGAAACTTTTGGAAAAGCATGTAAACAACAGGTTATTGAAACCCTTTCTCAGCTGCTTTGCATTTCATGATAGTTTAAACAGAGCTGTAGATGCATACAAAAAACCATATGCATATAGTTGCATTGGCATGTCATAAGAAATCATACCTCCTTTTCTTGCATCACGCTTGGACCGGAATCTCCCATCCTATTTATGGACAAGGCAAAGGTCACTACTTTTAAGTACATGTATATCATATCCAGTAGCTACAGATTCAAGAATAGAGGAAAACTATGGAAGTTTATAAGATAGTTCTGTCAGTAGATACTGTTGTTAGCAAGCAATGTAGATCACCCAAATTGAAGATAAAAAAAGATGTCATTTTGGTTTCTAATAATTTTAGTGAATGTCATTAACTACAGAACAAATATTAGTTGAAGTAATTAAATTACCTTCATAGCAAGATCCATGAGTTCCATCGAGACATTTTGACCAGCAGCTATCATACTATTAACCAATTCACCAGCAAACCGTGCCTCTTTCTGAGTTATCAAAGTATATGCACTGCCATCTTTATCGCCAGCACGACCTGTCCTGCCAATACGGTGCACATGCATATCCATGTCTTTTGCAATATCAAAGTTCACAACTGACTTAATTGACTTGATATCAAGACCACGGGCAGCAACATCAGTCGCTACAAGAACATGGTAGATGCCAGATTTAAACTTTTGTAGAATTTCCATTCGAGAAGCCTGATCCTTATCACCATGAAGGGCGGCAACCTTAAAACCCTTCTGAGAGAGCTGTGAATCAATCTCATCAACAGTAGCTTTCTTGGACGCAAACACCAAAACATCACCGTCATCAATCATACCAGGTAGCTTCTCTAGAAGCCAAGGTAACTTCTCAGAATCAGAAGGAATTACATGAACAACCTGAGTAATATCTTCATTAGCCATTCCCACCTCACCAACTGTGACTCTGACTGGGTCACTGAGAATCTCCCTTGCCAATTTCTCAACTTTCCGGGGCATTGTCGCAGAAAATAGTGTGGTCTGGCGATCAAGTCTGATTTGACCAACAATTGACCTTATTTGTGGTTCAAACCCAAGGTCAAACATTCGATCAGCCTCATCAAGTACCAAATAAGTTGCTCTCATCATTGTCAGGGCCTTCATTTTAATCATGTCTATCAATCTGCCAGGTGTAGCAACAACTATCTCACATCCTGCCTTGAGTTCCTTGAATTGATCAAGTTTGGACATTCCACCATAAACAGCACAGGAACGTAATCCATAGGCTTTTGCAAATTTCTTTGTTTCCAAGAATATTTGGTGCGCTAGTTCACGGGTAGGTGCACATATCACTCCAATCGGGCCCTCCTCTTTCTGAAGTTCAGGCTGATCCATAATGTGGACAATCATTGGAAGCACAAAAGAAGCAGTCTTACCAGACCCAGTTTTTGCTATACCAATAATATCCCTACCAGAAAGAACAATAGGTAAGGCTTGGCATTGAATAGTGGTAGGCTTTTCATAGGCTTGTTTCACAATAGCACGCATTAATTCTGGTGCAAAACCACATTCTTCAAATGTCTTAACTGGTTTTGGGACATCAAAACCAGAAACACGGATAGCCAAGCTCTTCCGATATTCAGCTACTTCTTGCTCACTCATTCCTATAAAGTTGATAATGAAATAGATTTCAGACACAAAGCCATCTCAATGAAGAATATGCCCTTTCTATATCAAGAAAAAAGTCCCGCGCTAAAAGTGATAATGAATAAACAAGCCATGATGTATATTATTTCCACATGATGAAAATGATCTCCTAAGGAATTAACTAAAACACGTAATCTTCATACTCAATTCCAGAATTTTATAGACTTTAGAAGTTGCTTAGGTAATAGCTTCATACTGATAGAAGTACAAACAGCTGCCTATGATAGATTAAGCATATATTGTAATCAACTAACTCATATTCTAACTGAAGTGATCATAACTCGTAAGTATCCAACTAATCTTATGTCCACACAATATAACCAATAACCAAACAACCCAGCATTTTCAGATAATTTTATCCAATAGATTCTTTTCTCTAAGAACGGATGCTGCTTATAAACTATAAGCATCTGATATTTGGTTTTCAATTACCTGAGATTGATGCCTTCTCCTCATAAAAATCTTTATAAAACGGCTCATACTCAACGGAACTGTGATCAAGAGCCGGAATCGGCTCTATCTTCTTCTTGTCCACAACCACTGGATTATCATCGGAATCATACTCCAACGCACCCGCATCTACAGCCTTCGCCGCTGCATAAACCTCCTCATCTGAATCATAACCAGCACGTAAAGCATCTGCAGCCAACGTCAACCCAACATCTTTCTTCGCCCTCAAAAAGCTCTCCACAGGATCATTCTCATCCTCGTCATCTCTATACCTCTCTGCCTTGACCTTCGGGTCCGGAGGTGGCGCCGCTTTCAAATCCTCCTGAATACCTTGCATAAACGCGTCAAGAGGGTCAACTTCCTCATCTTCCGCTCCGTTAGCATTGTCGTTCGAGTTGTTATTATCAGCTTCCTTGAAGGTATCATTATTGGCGTAATCGATATTGTCGAGGTCGGTATCTTCGTAGTTGTCGTGGCCGTGACGAGAGGAGCGAGGAACGTAGAGTCGTTGAGGAGCTTGCGATCGCTCGAAGTTGTAAGTAGCTTGACGGTTTATTCCAAACCCTTCGAATCCGAATTTGCGTTTCGACATGTTTGAATTTTTTTCTCCCTTGTAAAAAAAACCCTAATGCCGCAGGCCGCAGGGGGCTTGTTAGGGTTTGAAATTGAAGACTACTACTAATACTACCTTGTGTTGGTATTTCTGGAGAATCCAATTGATTCGCAGATGAGAGGAGAGGAAACGATAGTTGCACGCTGGAAAGTAATTAATCAATAAAAGCAATTTAATTTGGGGTAATAGATCAAGTCTCATTTGGGTAATTCATAATTCGGAGGTTTTCCACATAAATTGCTCTCAATCTAATGTTGGGGACAGTCTATTATTCTACCTTTCATTATCTCATTACATATGAGAATAAAGAACAACAAATTTTTATTAAAAATGATTGAGGTCTATTTATCTGTATTTATCCAAAAAAATGATTTTATTTAACTGAAAATGATTTTCGAAAATATTTTCAGGTTTTCCACTTAATATAGTTTTTGGAGATTATTTATAAGTTATACCAATGACAACTTAATTATATTTTCTTTTCATTTTAACTATTAATCTTTTAGTTTTATTAATTAATTTTTTAACTATTTAAACCTTGTTAATTATGTAACGTGTCGTTAACATTTGATAGAATATATAATGTGACAGTTAAAAATTTATATATTTACACATTCTATTCTTATTATTTACATACTCAATCAATTTAGGTATTTAAAAAGATAATATAAAAAGTGTTAAGTACTTACTTTGAGCAAAAAAAATCTTTATGAACTTAAAGTTAATAAATTGTATAATTTGAACACTTATTTTTACATTAAATCTAATTATAAAGATTGAGATATAATCTATATAAATAGAAAAAACAAATTTGATCACTAAATAATAATTCTTAGCTAAATCAAATTTAATCATCAAATAATCTTCAACTATTGAAATTATAATAAAATCTAACTTAATAATCAATTAAATTTTAAATGGATATATAATTATACTCACCGTCGATTTATAATTTACCTTTTAGCTTAAATTCAAGGGTAATCCAATTATTTAAATGTAAATGCTAACTGAAATTGAGGGGAAAATACTATTAAAAATCATTATTTATACTTACCCATTGCCTATGTGGTCGTTGCCATACTAACAGTTACCTCATGTTTTTGCCTTTTCCTCCTCCATGAGGTTATTATCGATAAAGTATTGGCAACCAATACAATGGGAGAAGTAAAAACTATGGCTTTTAACTGTAAATTTATCATCAAATTTAATTAATTTTTAAGTAATTTGATTAATGTTAAAATTAAGTTAAAAATAAATTAATTATGGTAGGTCTATGGGTAATATTTTTATTTCTTCAAGAATTATGGTTTGTAGTAATATGTGGTATTTCATGTCGATATAATTATTAATTTAACCTTTTCTTGTTACATATGTAGTTATGTACGATATCTCCTATAATAAATTGTGATAATAAAATAAAATAAATTAATTAAATGCTAAAATTAGATTATGCGAACATAACTCATGGGTTAACTGTTATTTTTAGACACAATCAAAATACTATAAGTGTTTCATTAGTTCTAATTTCTCAACAGGTTTCGTGCGTATCCCCTTTCCTATTGTGTTGCCTTCATCCAGAGAAGAAACGAGACCATGGGGTTGGGGATCAACCATTTCATTGTTCCCCTTGTTTCCATATCTTGTCTCTTTTCTTTCTCTACCTCGATCAATGCCGCTTCGCGTCTTCCGCGCGCCTCTAGCTCTACTTCTCCTGTTCTTAAACAAATGATCGATATTATGTTCGAATCGAAGTCTCCGTCGTCGTCCGACAACGTGACATTGGGAAGTATCGATAATTTAATAAGTGTCTTACGTGATGGCATCAACCCTGACCTTCAGCAGCTATGTGGGAACACTGATCATCCGATCGAATGCATAGGAACAAAGACGCCTTTTCTAGACGAGAAAGCTCCGATCGAACCTCTTTCGGTCCTTAAAGCCGGGATTCGAGCAATGGATAACTAGACCAAAGAGGCTTTGGCAGTGGTTACGAAGCTCTCATCGGATCCCACTACCCGGAGACATATTCTTCCCGTCCTTTGAGAAATGCACTGAGGTCTACAATGTCATTCTTGAAAGGGATCAGAGATCCATGGAAGCCATCGATAATCGTAACCTCGTGCAGTTGAGCACGTAGCTAGGCGCCAATGTGGAAAATGCACTCGGTTGTGACGATGCATTCGTGAAGGTTAAGGTCGAGTCCCCGAGAGGGAAATGGATGCATTGCTTGGAAAGATCATTACCAACACATTGAGCATTGGGTTCGACATGGTCCACTTTTGGAAAGACGGATTAAAAGATAACTAGAGATGATTTTTTTTTATCCTAATGAAATCTTTCATTTTCTTTATTTTATCACAAACATTCACTATTTCTATTTATTAATTGGAGATATTTTTTTCATGTTTGTGACTTGTCCATTCACTCAGATTTTATTCTCTCAGACCATCTATTTTAAACGTATAATCTTCAACTTTAAAAATTAGCCAAATGAATTCCAAACCCTTTTAGGGAAAAATGATAGAAAATTGCATAAATAGAGCAGTTTTTTTAATTAGGTGACTTTTTATAAATTAAAAAATAAATTTTAAATTTATTCTATGACAAAGTCTCTCTCCGAGCTCTATCACGATCTCTTTATCCATATATGACTCTAATAAATTTATTCAGATATCAAAGAATATGAATTTTAATATCATATTCAACCCCTATAAAACTCCTAATCGGAACGATGAACACATTATTATGAAAAGAAAGAAGAAACAAGTGCCCATAAAAGAGAGACTAGTCAATCGAAGTGGAGGGAGTGGGCTCGAAGAGATGAGGCCATGAGAGTGAGAGTAGGAGTGGGAGTGGGGTGGGAGATTTGTGATTTACCGTATAACGAACGTTATAATTTGAATTTATTTTATAATTATATATTAATAAAATAATAATAATAAATAGTTATTATAGAAAAATTATAATAAAACAATTTTCAGTGGTTAAGCAATTTAAAAATTGAGTGATTAAAATAAAAAATTTAAATTTTAGTTATCAAAATAATAATGAAAACATAATTGAGTGATGTGTGTAACTTACCCAACGCATAAAACTTGAGCATGTCTGACGAATGATATCTGGACACGTAGGATACAAAGATGATTGAAGAAAGAGGTGAACACACTATCGTGAACTATGAGTGCGCAGAGTCCTAACCTGCGCACGCCTTTTGCAGCTAAACCGTGTGTACAGTATAAGCAATAGAAGAGAAGGAAAAAAAGAGAGAGAAAGTTACACAAATAGTCACTGATGTTTGAGTCAAATTTTGTTTTCTCCACTAAATTTTTAAAAGTAATAAATTGGTCATTAATATTATGGATTTATAACAAATCGGTCACTCACCGTTAACCATCGTTACTACAGTAACGAAATGTTTATTCTTCTTCTTGGTACCTTTAAAAGATTATTGAATCTAAATAAATTAACTGTTCATTATGCGGGCCAACACATACATTAATGCATATCACTACTCAATTGCTTTGGACTTCATTATTCCTATGTTGGGCATGTTCTTTGCTGCCACCTTATACTTGCAACAACGCTTTGGCAGTCGATGTTTCCTTCAAAAGCGGTTCCGTGAATCTGGGGTATATGAAGAACATCCAGTAAATTCAGAGGAGCAATCTCCATTATGATCTAGCACCTAGAGATGGCTTTTGTCTGGTTTTTAGGACTACAACAAAGCTTGAAGTTGAAAAAACTTAAAAAAATTTAATGAATGGAGTGCAAAACTTGGAGTAATCATCTTCATTAATGTCTGGTTTCTAGCTTGAAACGTGCCTTAAAAAACATGCAACAAAGCTTATTGTAATAAAAAAGCAAACTTTATGAATTTAGTGAGAGGATAACATGAGAAAAGTATTTAAATTGATTGTAAGAGATTCAAAATTTAGAACTTTGATTTTAGAAGTTGCCATGTTTTTTATTTGAGAAAATCAGAACATGTGTCTTGGGACGATTATCTGGCTTCTGCCAAAACATTTTCAGATCAACCCAGAAAAAAAAATAGCCGTATATCCAGGTTTTCTTGCAAAACTAGAAAAATATATATGTCATTAACATAGTAATATATATTTATAGTACATGAAAAAATATAAATTATTCATTAATAATATTTATTTTTAGTCTGGTCTAAGTGTTATTAGTTACTAAATTTCTTTAAGAAATGATTTTTCGGAATCAAACAAACAATGAATGACATTGATGAAAATGGAAAAATAAATATAATTTTTCGAACATTGAAGTTACAAACAAAAAATAACATTAATGAAAATGGGAAAATGGATATCATTTTTCAAACATTTAAGCAATTTAAGTTAATTAGAAGAAGAAGAAGATCGATCAAATATGTTGAATCAGTTGGTTTAACGTGTTGCATCAGCATTTCGGTATTATAGTAACGGTGGTTAACGAAGAGTGATCGATTTGTTATAAATCAATAATATCAGTGATCAATTTGTATTTTTAAAATTTTAGTGAGAAAAACAAAAAATTACTCAAATATTAGTGACTATTTGTGTAGTTTACTCAAATAAAAAAGCGTTTTAAGAGTTAACACTAAAAGGCTAAGGAAGAAACGAAAGAGCGAAAGGAAAGGAAAGGAAAGAAACGGCGAGAGAGAGGGCACTGAGTCGGGTCGGCGAGTCAAGTGACCGAATCATCAAAGGATCTAAAGAAGAAGAAAAAAAGAGGGGAAAAAAATCTTAAAATCCCCTCTTCCAACCCATCCAAACGAAAAAAACACACAGGGGGGCTGGTGTGGCAATAGCAAAAAAATGGTGAACGAGGAGATAATAAGTTCCCTTCCTCATATTTACCTCCATCTTTCCTTTCTCATCATTGTTACTACTTCAATATCCCTTTCTCTAACCCTAAACATTCTTTATCCTTTCAACCTTCCTCCCGCCCCTCCCTTTTTCCTTTCTCTACGAAACGCCATTTGGTATTCTCTTACATTCTTACCTCATCTATTCACCCTCCACTCTCCCGTCTTCTCTTGTGTCTTGATATTTCCTTTCATTTTCCTTTTTTCTTCCTTCCCTTTTGGGGGATTCTCGATTTCTTTTGTACGACCATATCGGTAAGGTTAGTGATCGATTACTCGTGGGGGTTCTTTTATTTCTGTTTATTTGATCCACGGATTTGAAGGGAATGGGGGGGGGGTTCGATTTTATTACTTTTCGATGATGGGTTTGTGTGGATGGATTGATTGGTGCGATTTTTGGGGTGTTTTCTTCATGGGTGTGCTTTTGATTTGATGGTGATTGGGTTCATAATGCATTGCAGGGGTAATATCACTTCATAGTCCTCTCTATCTATCTGTTCGTAAAATTCTTTGTTCTTTTTTTAAATCGTTTGCATTGGGCGTAATTGCCCTTCTACTGCATTTTTAAATTTCTTCTATTTCTTTTCCAGTTTATTTAATATGGATAATTTGATCAATTTGGCATTTGATTATGAAAGCGCAAGTTCCTGATTGTTTGGCTTCATGTTGTTTACATTTCTGAAATTCATTTTACTAGATTGCTCGGCTTTCAGCAGCTCCTTTATTGCCCGTAATTTTTATCCCATTATGTTTATTGTACGTTTTGTGTTTGCTGAATTGTGAATCTTATTCCTTTTTTCTCCAATTTCTTGTTTAATGTGATTTGATGTGCGATATATTAAGGTTTCTTTTGCAGTTGTTTGGGATCTTTGTATTGTAATTCACAGGTTTTCGTTTTCTTCCTTTAGAATAAGTGGTCTTGCCGAGGCGCCCTTCTGGTAAAATTAGGTGGAAACTTCTCTATCTACATGGAAGAGTTTTTTGGAACTCGTTTTAGTGGCGTGAATAATGCTGTGAGGAAGAAAAGGAGCCAAACTTTTCGTCGGCCTCGTCCTGATTCACAGTCTTATACTGAAAGCCACGATCGCTCATCCTTGTCATCAGCACCTCCTTCTGATGACATGAGCAAGGTGTCAAGTGACGAGAATGCTGGTGGTGATGCTAATTCAAAGCGGAAAGAATTCAATCTTAATCAACATGTTTCTGGGATTTCTCCTGCTGTTGGTGTCGAAGTTGAGAAAACCCATAAAAGGAAGAAAGAAGATGGAGGATTCAATGCATTTTACAGCAACGAGCCTGGTCGAATTGGGTCAAGCAGTAAGCGTTCTAGTGAGGGTGTACTTACCCCTGCTAATTGGAAAAGCAAAAGCAAGGGGAATGAGTTGTCTGAACAAGAATCACGGAAAATAGATATATATGTTGGAATGAATGGTGAGATTCAGAGTTCAACCGAAGGAACCGTTACTGATGCTAATGAAAGCAAGGTTAAAAAAGTTAAGCTCAAGGTTGGTGGTGTAACGCGCACAATTCATGCCAACTCGACACCCAATGGGTTGCCAGGGGGTGGGTCTTCTACAAGGAAGAACCTCCAGGTAGTTGGCAGTGGTTTCTCTTTACTTTTGTTGGTCGATAGCTTTTCTCTCAGTCAAGTGAGTGGATAGTTTTGTTGGTTGATAGTTTTCTAAGTTATGTGATGTGGGTGTCTTTGCCCTCAGTCAAGTGAGTACATAGTTTTTTCAGCAGCCACTGAAATTTGTCAAAGAGAGTTGCAGTTTAGGGGGTATACCTGATGTAACTGCATACACTATCATGCTGTAGATTATTAGTTTTGTTTACTAGGGTGATTTGTAACAGATACTCTGAATACTTAATGTGGGGTTAATAATTTGGTAATATTTTTATTATAATTACTTATATGGAAGATTATGTATTAATGTGCTTTGTCTTAGCATAATATTTATTATATCTTTTAGCGACATTTAGAATCCCGCACAATCTTCTTATTAATTATATATTTTATTGCAGCGAAGTACCGAAGACGGGCATTTCCCTCAAGATAAAAGGAGTGGGCTGCAAGGAGTCCCTTGGAAGGATTTCTCCAAAGGCGGTTTTGGTTTTGGGAAGGACGATTCTTTGATGAAAAAGATTTCTGGAAAAAATGTCGCTGGTAAACAAGGAGACCAGGCTGGTGCTGTTCGTAAAAGCAAGCGACCCCCTAAGAGACGTGTACAAGATGAGGAATTCGGTGAGGATGACGTTGATGATGAGATCCGTTACTTGGAGAAACTTAAAACATCAAAAATTAGTCCAGCATATAAGGATGATGAGGAGGAATCCGGTAAGAAACATAAAAAACTCTCCAGGGTTTCGAACATAGAAAATTTTGCCTCTTCAAGATCTGGCAAAGAGGAGAAAAAGAAGTACAGATCAGACAGGGCATCTGATACAGACTATGACGAAGAAGATGAACCGGTGTCTGATAGTGCGCCTGATGGTAAAAGGAAAAAGAAGCAGATGAAAGAATCTGTTGATGGATTGCTTGATGGTAAGAGGGAAGTGACTCTCACAACACGCCAACGGGCCCTTCAGTCAAGCAAAGATGCCTTTTCAGCACCTGGCTCAAGCTTAATTGAGTTTCCAAATGGTTTACCACCTGCTCCCTCCAGAAGTGAGTGTTTATTTATTGTTAATCTTCTATGCACGTGTTATTGGATACTTTCCTCCTTTTTCACAGTGATTGTTGTTGATTGTAGAGCAAAAGGAGAAGCTTTCGGAAGTAGAGCAGCAGCTAAAGAAGGCCGAGGCTGCTCAGAGACGAAGGATGCAAGTTGAAAAGGCTAACAGGGAATCTGAGGTTTGTTTCTCTTTGAGCTTCAGATTATGAAATGCATATGGTATTTAGAACTGCAATGCTAAAAGTGAGCATGTTGAATTACCTTTTTTTGTTGCAGGCAGAGGCTATTAGAAAAATACTTGGCCAAGATTCCAGCAGGAGGAAGCGAGAAGATAAAATAAAAAAGCGTCGGGAGGAATTGGCACAGGTACTTGGTAGATGAACCTCTTGGATTGAAAATAAATGGTTAATTGTATTTTTGTAATTGGTTTGGCAAGTCTTATTATGAGGCCATTTTTGTCTAATTTACTCACCTTATATAGGAAAAGGCTGTTAAAGAAGAAATGCTTGCATCAAATACCATCAGATTGGTCATGGGTCCTACAGGGACAACAGTCACTTTTCCCAGGGATATGGGTTTCCCAAGTATCTTCGACTCCAAACCCACTAGGTATTGCTCATTGTGATGTTTAAGCTGATTCAATTTCTTGTGTTTGCTTTTCCGATATATGAATGTTATGTTTGAATATTCAGCTACCCTCCTCCACGTGAAAACTGTGCCGGACCGTCGTGCACTAACCCGTACAAGTATCGCGATTCAAAGTCAAAGCTACCTCTTTGTAGTCTGCAGTGCTACAAGGCAATTCAAGAACAGTTATCGGCCAAAACTACCAGCTAATGTTACAGCAAAAGAAAATCCAACTCTAACCTCAGTGAATGGTACTTTTATAACCTCAGATATAAGGCAACTATGTATTCGTTTCAATGAATGATATTCAAAAGTTTTGTCCCTCATAAATTAGTGAAATCTTATTTTTAATGAGATGGAAGAAAATGGAGCAGATTATGTTTCTCAAGGTAAGTAGCGGTGGCAAAAAAATTGAATGTATATTGTTGGTTTGCATCGAAATGACCATCTAGCTCAGTTGGTAGAGCACAAGGTTCTTAACCTTGAGGTCGAACCTTGAGGTCGTGTGATCGAGTTCCACGGAAGGCATTTCATAATTCGGAGGTCTCTTACGGAAGCTGCTCTCAATCTGGTGTTGGGAGTAACCTACTATCTTATCTCCCCTTATATGGGAAAAAAGGACAACCATTAATTGTTGGTTTGCATCATAAGTACCATCTGAGATGTTGCATTGGAGTAATCATCCACTAATAGAGCCGTGTCTTTGTATTGTATGTGCATGATCGTTTATTGATTATGAGTCATGATTCTGTTATGTTACAAGACATGCCTACCAAAAAAAAGCATCAAATTTCACATAGACTTCATACGATCTCTTTTGTCATAACTTAGGTTTCAACCATTAAACGTAATAATCTTGATTTACATTATATAAACATCATATGGATGTGAAACTTTAACACAAAGGATTGATAATATAACTTAGAATTTTCGTTGCTGCTAACAAAAATAATTGATTTGGATCAGTATCCAACTAGAATTACTCTTTAACTGAAACATGTCAGAAACCTTCATTTTTCAACATGTAAGACTTCAACAACACAGTCCATAACGAGATATAATTCGCCAATATGTCCCTAATTAATTAGAGCTTTATTCCATGTTTGAATATCCTTCATGCATGTATGTTTTGAAGAAAAAATAAATAAAGTTTAGATACTAAAATAAAATAAAAGTAATAATTTAATTATTAAACGTGGAGTTTATCCTATAATCATCTTTAGAAAACAGATTTCGGAATCTTATCCGAATCTCTCAACACCAGAGCTTAGTGTTGTCTTAAATTTCAGTAAAAAGATGGACACGGGCATTTGGATTTTGGACACCAATTCCCTTTCTTGCTCTTTACTTTCCCCCCAAAATCCTGATTTCCATGGAATCCAACCTCCTACAAGAAGAAAGGTAACACAAACCAATGTAAAAAAGATGAATTAAAAAAAAATCACAAGCAAAGCACTCCAGCGCGGACATCATGCCTTCATTAATTGATACCTACCATCACCCAACCAAAGTAGCCACCCCCAAAGATATGATTTATTTATTTGTACTTTTTGTTAACAGCCACAGATTTTTGGTGCCAGACTTCCACATTTTGTGAGCCCTCGAAGAAGAAAAAGAAGGGGGGATGGAGGATGAAGATGCTAAACTATGATCACTAGTAGTGGAAGCATAATCACTTTCAATATGAACATTTGAATTACATTCTTCTAAGACCCATAAACACTTTATATTTCAACAAGGGACAACAGGGATTCCTTCATCTTCTCAGGAAACTTGTGAAAGCTGAAGATATGGGTATAGTTCTTCAAGCTCATCGAAGAAATCATTTTCTTCTGATTTCGGCGTTGAGGATTTCGTTATACGAGAGCAAGACAGTGGCTCTTCATCCAACAAAAACCCCACTGAGTCATGGATTTGCTCTGCACTCCCGATGAAACAATCTTCATTAAATGGGGATGGTAAATAGTGAAAATGATCTTCACTTGCCTCTTCATCTCTGCTAGCTTTTCTGCCTTCGTTTTGTACTACTTCTGGCTCTTGTTCTGAAACCTCAGCCACCTGTTCATCGTCTCTGCGGTTGCTTAGGAGTTCTTTCGGCGACTGTTTTATGTCGGTGGAGTCGAGATTAGGGCCTGGATGGTTGTGCCTAGAGGTGTAAGTGATGATTAGCAACGAAGCATCTGTTTTGCATCTTTCTACTTGCTTCTTGGCTGAACAACCCTTTGATGTGCTACACTTGTAATACCCTCTGCATGTACGAAACCATCAAAATATTGTGAGAAACGTGGGTTGAAGAAGAAGAAGATGATGAAGAAGAAGAAGACCTGGGATAAGGAGATCCTTTGATAGGCTTTTGCCCATATTTCCTCCACGACCATAAATCCGAAGGTGGCCCTTCGTTCTTCACCTTCCCACCATTTTCCCCGACCTTCACTGTAACCACAATCCTCTCGACCACCTTCCTGGTAATAACAACATGAACAAAACTATGTTATTTCGAAACTGTAATAGGAAAATCTTCCTATGCAACCAACCTTCTTTTGGATGCCTGGGTTTCATTTGGTTTAAGTTCCGATTCATCTGAAGCCATGGATTCCAATTCTGGAGGGACAGAACCTTCCATCTCCATTTTCTAAACTTATATTATGCCAAAATGATCAAATGAGACAAGCAGAGCTGTTTGGAGATTTAACAAAAAAAAATTAAAAGAGAGTTAGGCAATAGGACATAAAAAAAACCGAGCAACTTGCTTTCTTCTCTTTCATGTCGCTCATTAAATATAAAAGTTATTTGCAACTATGCATGAATATGCCGGGGCCCATCCTCCACTTGATCGCTCGGGCCAAGCTTTCTTGTTCTCACACACAATCAATTTTCCACTTGCAAAGCTGACAACAATCCAGAAATCTTATCTTAAAACCCCAAATCGTGAATATGCAGTCACGTTTTGTGTATCTCCCCGAACGGAAGAAAATTGAGTTTGGTGGAAAGAACATGCCATAGCACGAGCTAGATATCTTCATGCTACTGAACTATTCATAAAGCTTTCTTCTTTTTTAGTATTGGATTTGGCTGTAATCTCAGAAGAATCTAACTCTATACATATTACATATTGCTTTCCTTTCTTTCAGGATCATTTGATTTATCGTTGCTACTGGGAAATGGAGCAGATGTGTTTTTCTAGAGGCGGCGCAGCCGAAGTGGGGCTTCATCTCAACCATTAACAAAAACAAAACTAGGCTTAACGTAACATGGTTGTTCTTGTAAATGTTGGTGATTAAAAGCTAAAACTTGGAAATTTCTTTTTATTTCACTTGAAGGGAAAGAGAGAGAAAACAAGGAAAGACTTTTGGCATGGCCATGAAACATGCTAGTACTAATATAGTATATATGGGTCATAAATTAGTTGAAATTTGGGGGGTAAAATCATGTAAGATTACATGACCAATATTCTTTAATTTTTGCTAAAAGCTTCATATCACCAATCGAAGCATTTTTTTTAATAAAAAATGATCATTAGAGCCACATAGGGCAACTTCAAGATAAGAAAACAATGTATGTGAATTCTAGGCAAAATCTACTCCATGTCACTCAATTATTAATTCAATTATGAATTTATCTTTTTTTCTTTTAAAAATTATAAATTAATAACTTAATTAAAATATTATATCAATCGTATTATGTTATCGTTAAAATTAAAATGAATGTCTAATATAATATAATCTAATTTAATCTCTAATTTAAAATAATTTAATAAATTTAACCATTAATATTTAATTTTCTTTACCAATTTAGTCTTTTTTTTTCTTTTCTTAAATTGTTTACAGGTCAAAGCATCGCTACTTTGTTTTACATCCTGTTTTCTTGTTTTGCTTTTGGCTGTATTCAGTTCTTTTTAGGATAAATTATAAATTTAGAGTCTTAATTATAATTTTTATCTCATTTTAATCATTTAACTAATTTTTTTAAATCGTATTAACGTTATATTTTAGTTTCATTTTGGTCACTTAACGTTAAAAAATTAATTAAATTATTGACGTTATATTTTTTTAATGACAACGTGACATTGTTTTATAGTGACACATCAGCATCGTCATTAATTTTTTAATCACGAGTGACCAAAATAAAAATAAAATAAAATGTTAGTTATAATTTAAAAAAAATTAAATGATTAAGACATAACAAAAATTATAATTAATGCAGTAAACATATAGTTTACCTTTTGATTATTGTATTTATACAAGTCCGGGTGAAAAGGGCTTAATAGTAATAATGGATGTCCCTTATTCTCATATGTAATGGGGGTAAGGAGGAGGTAAGATAGTAGGCTGCCCTCAACACCTGGTTGAGAGCAACTTCCGTAGAAGACCTCTGAATTATAAAATGCCCTCCGTGAGACTCGATCCCACGACCTCAATGTTGAAAAGGGCTTAATAGTGTATATATATATATATATAGACAAACCCCAATAGTGTTTTTAAAGATTTAATCGTGCAATAGTTTAGACATTGGTATTCCTTGCCATCGAAGTGGAAAAATGTTCACATTGCGGTAGAACTCCGCACCATACATATCCATGCCGTATGGTTTTTTAAATTAAATTTATAATGATATTCGCCATTGTTCTTTTCAGAGTTTGGTGTTTCTGGGGACATAACTTACACTGAAATGTCAATGTTTAATTAATGTAACATATATTCAACGCTAACCAAAATTAACCGGTTCTAGAGGTGTAGCAATCGTTTAGGTGTCCATTTTGTTTGACAACTTCATTCACCGGCTGGTTAAAGTTTACTTGACTATCCATAGTAAATAAATCGTTTGATTATCCTAAGCTTTATCCTTTAATCAACCATTAAACAATGGGCTTAATGACACTTGATTTTAATTAACTATAGACTTTTTCAAATTAATGAGCTCAATTCGTTTCAAATATAAGTTGAGACTTTTTCACATGTACTTGTTTTTGTTTTTTTTAATATGAAAGCAGATCTTTGGAAGTTGAAGTAATAGCGTTTCCTATGAGGCATATTAGATAATTAATTAGGAAAATTAAATACATATACTAATTCATACATATTCTAACAAGGCCTGTAATAAGATTCCATGTCTTGGTGTTAAGTAATTCAAACTATCTGGACGTGCCAACCACTCTATCTTCTTCCTTTCGCAACTACAAATTCATCCATTCTCATAGATTGATCTGTCTATGTTCCTCCGTCACACAAACAACCGAGTTTTTCATATTCCTTCCATTTGGCTACCGGGAAAAAATATGGGGTGGAAGAATTTATATCAGAAAACTACGATTTTCCTGACCCGGAAAGAATTCTTTCACCTCCTTGCGATCACCCTACTCAGCCTCTTGATTCCCCTTTCATTCCTCCTCGTCGCCAGGCTTTCATGCCTCAACTATATCTTAACAGCCGTCGCTTCAGATCCTTCCCATTCTTCCCGGCCTTTTCTTTTGTCTTTCTACTTCTACACCAACCCAGCTGTTCTATATGTTGTTGTTTCAGTCATTAGCATCGCCACTCTTCTCCATGCATTGACTGGGGAAATCACCTTCGCAAGCGACTCACCGGAAGCTGTTTACAAGCCCCGTTTGTTCACCGCCTGGCTCGTTCTATGTACTCTGCAAGTTTCCGTTGGATTTGGGATTGAAGGAAGCATAGCATCGGGAATCGACGGTGCCGGTTTCGGCGTTGAGAGGAGTCTGTTCAGTAGATTAATATTCTTCTTGGGTTTGCATGAAATCATGTTTTTCTGGTTTAGAACGGTGGTGAAACCGGTCGTAGACGACACTGTTTTCGGGGATGCTACGCCGGAAAGGTGGGTTCATAGGGCCGCCATTGCCGTGAGCGTCGGCACCTTGTGGTGGTGGAAGCTGAGAGATGAAGTTGAGTCGTTGGTGGTTGTGGCGGAAGCTAAGAAGGAGCTGTCGATGGAAATTGAGATGGCCGACTTTGTTGGGTGGTGCTTGTATTATTTGACTGTGACAATTGGAATGGTTAGAGTTTTCAAAGCTCTGCTCTGGGTTGGAATTATGTTGCTAAGGAAAAACACAACGGATGGAACCGGCGAGGAAGATGATCAAGACAATGTCTAAGCTTCACCCTTTCTTGATTATTTATTTATTAATTAACTGTCAGTAGTTGTTTGATGACGAAAACTCAAACATATGAAAATAGATGTTTGAATTTTTCAATTAAATGTGTTACACGAACTGTAATAATTCCCACTTATCAATTTGTACAAAGGAATTATTGAAGTATTTTATTATGAACTCTACTATTGTTGTTACTGCCGCTTATATCCAAATTGGCAACTATTATTGCCAAATATATTAATGCATAAGGTAAACTTGTCTTGAAATTTAGAGTTAGAATAAATTATTTTATATTTAAATTTTATAAGTGGTTATTATGTAAAAGTTTATGAAAATACTTTGAGAAATATTAGTTTACTCAGTTTAAAATTGAGAGGAACTTAAAGAATGTTTAAATTATTTAAGCCAACTAACAATAATTTTTTTGGACCAAAATGCCAACTTTTTAAATATATAAGAACCAAAATGTTATTTTTATAGAAGAATTAAAATGATTAGATATGATAAAAGGATTAAAATATTCTTTTTTACAATAGAGGGATTAAAATAAAATTTCATATATAATGTAAGTAGTTCAATAAACTCCACTTGTTAAAATCCCTAAGATAGACAAATTTTCTAAATAAGTCTAACAATTGTTTTCATTTTGAGATACATGGAAACGTGAAAGAAAATACAAAAGTAACCGATTGAAACATGAAAATTAAAGAACAAACTCAACAATGGCATGCGTCTTCTTGGGGTACCCCATACCAAACATATGGTTAAGATAAACCTTCCCATGTTTCACAGTCGCTGCCGTGGCTAAACGATGCATAGGACCTTTGAACTTGGCCACAACAGAAGCCGTCTCCCATCCATCGGAGCTTTCCACCAATCTCCCAGAAGGGTTTCCTGCGGCAACCACAAGCTTACTAGGAGAAATCAGCTCCAGACCATCACCAAATGATAATGGACCTCCAGAAACTTGGATCAACTTCACTTGGTTTCCCTTGGCCACATCAATCTTAAACAAATCGCCACTCAAAGTATGAATCACGATCAAGTATCCATCGGGGTGGTAAACGATGCCGTTCAATCCAGCTAAACTTTTGTACCACTCTTTTGGCGTGAATAGTGGGTGTCTTAGGGTTGACAAAAACTCACCATCCACACCGACCTTCCAAATTTTACTGCCTTTGACGTCTGTGACGTAGGCATTACCATCTGCATCTACTGCAACATCATCGGCGAAGGATTTCTCGTCGCCTGAGGATAAGAAACTGATGTTACAAAAACAGTTTTTTTTTGTAGTCTATTGAATGCATAGAGATAACTGCATAACATTGCACTTGTGAAAGAGAAAGCAATGGAAGAAGTCTACTAGAACGTCACTCAGTGAGTTAGACCCTCATTTGAAAGGGTATAATTGCATTGTTAGTTGTTAATTATGCACGAAGATAGCATTGTTCATGATGTAGGATGAATTAGAAAGGTCATTAGGTAGGTGGCCCAACTGCCCATTTATTTCTTCATGCTTCAATGTTGATTTTTTATGTGCCTAGCTTTTTATGAAGTTTACATTTAATAAAATATAGTTTTTTATTATGCATAAGTTCTAAACTTAGTTTATTTTATTCTGATTTCCTTATAACTCTTTTAATTTTCAAAGTTTCAATCCAAACTCAAAGGATATGAGAACATATTGTTAAAATATAAAAAAATTTAAATACTCAATTGAAAAATGTAAATTAAATTTATCAGTTACACATAATATGAAGAGTGATAATAAATTTTGACTTAACAAGTTAATAACTACATTTTAGTCTAAGATCAAAATTTTAAAAAGTAGAAGTATTAAATTAGAATATAATAATTAAATTTATAATTTATACGTAGTAAAAGGACTAATAAGAGAATCTGACCTTCAGTTTACTTTGGTGCCATAACCAACCATGAGAAATATAGAGAGATACAGACAAGTTCAGATTCCAACAGAAATCTTTTCAAAATATTCTACAAATTAACTACATCGCCATCGTCTGCCGGCCTACCCTACCCAAATCACCACAAATTTTAAAAAAATCGACGGTAACAGGATTTTAACCAGGTTTAGACGAAACCGATTCAAAGTTTATATTCCTTAATTTTGGATGATATTATATTGAATTTGAGTATTGTTACAAGTACAGTAGGGGAAAATGTTTAAAAATACATACCAGGGCCACTGAGTTTGGTTAGGAAGAGCCTTTTCCAGGTGGACAGGTCATAAGCGGCGAGCGCGCTATATCGGTTACCAAGCAAGTCGGCTACGGCAACGAGCAGCCGGTTTCTGGGACGGTCAAGGGCGATGCCGAGGGAAGCATTTCCGGTCAAGTCAAAGTCTTTGACGACCGGGACCTCATTTAATTTGACGTCGTTGGTGTAATTATCGGGGACGTGGATTTCACCGACGCCGCCTTCCATGAAAGAGACGAGGAAACGACGGCCCTGATCGTCCCACTTGGCGCATTCGCGCATGAAACCGGCGCTGTGGTAGTGGAAAACGTGGTGGTCAGTCTCTGCGCGTTCTTGAGAGATGATGTAAGCGATGGGGAGTGCCGATACGATGAAGAGGAAGATAAGGAACCTTGTAGAGCAAAACCAAAGCGCCATGTCTTTGTTTCTTTCTTTTGGTTCAACAATGAATTGTTGAGCTTTGGGGGTTGGAAATAGAAATAACTAAAAAGAGCTCATAGTCATTATACATAGTATTAATATAATATTTTAACAATCAATAAAACTATACAAATTAGACTTATTATATAAATAGTGGTATTTAAATTTGATAAAAGAAAATTAAATTCATATTTTATTTTCTCATTAAATTGATACCTAATTTTTAAATATATATATATATATAGTATTAAATAATATTTTTTTGAATTAATCACTAATATCTTACTTGTTGATCTAATATACATCGAGATTTGCAAGGACTTATTATAAAGACAACTCTCTCAACCTAGTTTATTCTATTCGCAAATGTCATAATCATATTACCTATCTTAAGAAATCTAGTGTCTCATCCTACTTGATTAACCGATTGCTAATATTAATATGATATTTTAATAACCAATAAAAATATAACAAATTATATTTAATGATATAATTATTTTAACGGATCAATATCACCCCATTAGTTTAATTGAATGTTGAAATGTCAAATCAATATATGTAGTAATTTAAAAAAATATTAAAAATAAATACTAATTTTAGATTAAAAAAATTCACAATTTGAAAAAATTACAAATTAAGTACCAACTTCTATAATATACGTAAAACAATATAAGACATATATTATATGAGGGTTTAAAAAAGCGAGTCAGTGTTTGAAATTTTTTGTCGATTACATTTGTGTTTGGTACTTTGATTCGCGGACTTTGTGCTATTGTTATTTTAAATATATACTTTACTCTTAAACGAGGAAGCAGCGTTTTAAATTATTCTACATAAAAATGTTCAAAAGATGAATTCTCTTGTTTTTTTTTATAATATCTTGAATTTATTTAATTAAAGGTTTCATATAAATATAGACATGTAAACATAATATAGATGTTGGTGTGCTATGAAAGTAATTAAGATGATACGTAAGAAAATAAAAATATGATTAATAAATGATATTTTAATGAAAGTAATAAAAGTGAATTAAATATAGAAAACAAGCTGATGATGAGATAAGTTTTAGAAAGAAAAATGGAAGGAAAATGACATATAATTGGATTAGGTTGGGTGGATGGAGAAGGTTGGGCGAATTTCAATATTGTAGATGAATTTAGGTGATATTAAACCCCACCAATTAAGATGAAATTTAGGTTGGGTGGGTAGAATAATCTTACCCGTTAACTTTTACGAGTTTATGACTTGAATCCGAACCATAAAATCTTATTTAATTTTTTATTTTAAATAAATCTTATTATTTTAATGAAATTTTGAAATTATTTTAAATAAATTATTATTATTTTAATAAATCTTATTTAATTTTATTTTCTTAAAAAATTAAAATAGATTAAAATTAATTTCGAATTCTTTGATATCCGAACTAATATTGATCGATGTTTGGGTTTTGAAAGTGTATTGGTTGCATCGCCAAGAAAGGGAAGATTTCATTCCAAGTAGTCGCATCGCCACGTTAGTTTGTTTTTGGTTAATACTATTGTGATGAGTGGTTTAGAAAAATGAGATGTTACCATTTGTCTTTTTAAATACTAAAAGTCAAATAAAAGAACTTAAGTTAGCAGAACATGCACGCTAATACCAACAAAGTATTTTAAGGCATAAATGTTAAAATTATATATTTTGTTCCCTTTATGCTACCGTCGTCGTCCAATCATTCACCCATCAATGTTGCCACTGCTGGGGTTGCCGTTGGCAAAACCCCAAAAACCGATCATTACACCTAAGGCTGAAAATAGGGTTGAAAGTTGACCTAGGATAAAGGTAGCTGAAGGATAGGAGATGTTGGTTAACCGATATGTCGCGGATTTTGTAGATGAAGATAAGGGGTCTTAGGTGCAACCCCGAAATACAAAAACAATCACACCCAAAGCTGTACTCATCTTATCCCGTTAACCACAAAAAACTGAGAATTTCCCTACCCTTGGATGGCCTGCTCCTTACTCACTCCAACACTGGCAATGTCGAATATAAAGTTCTATCAAATGAGTTTAAAGTAGCTCTCCAAAACCAACACTATCCATTCAATTGAGGGGAGACACACCAAAGCATAACAGAGTAAGCTTGAAATAAGCCCACATTCCACACAAGGCTCGAACGGATAAGCCGGTCTAAGTGATCTTACAAGAAGGGCTAAAAACAATGTACACTCCATTTATAATGACAAGACAGGCTGAGAGTAAGAGCTGCTCCGATTAGGCCATAGTCCAACACAAAGACAACAATCCAAGTGAGAGGAATGTGCACCAGAAATACGCCACCCGCCCTATAGGCCAGGGTTCACAATACTCTGTGAGAATAAGTTGCAAGCTTAGGTGCAATGATCAATTTTTGGGGTTTGGTGAACGGCAGTGATAACGGTTACGACGGTGATAGGTAGGTGATTGGTCAGTAGTCATGGCAACAACAGTGCTGAATAATAGTGGCTGGTAATGAAATTTGAAATTAAGGATTTTTAGATTTTATACGATACTAGTTACATTTAGGTTTTTTTAAATATATATAAATTTAAGATTCTTGAAATAAAAATTTTTAAAAATATAAATATGACATATGTTAAATAATAACTTTTAATAATTATTACGATACGCAAAAGGGTAACGTAAAAAATGTTAGCAATTGCTTTGAGTGAAAAATACTTGAAATACCTAAAGTAAGCAAAAGGTACAATGAGTATTTTTTTTATTCTAACGTTGTGAATGAGATAATTTTTTTATTGATCTATGGTGATTATAAGGTATTATATGTTCTAAAAATTCTCAACTATTTGACAATGAAAGTTTAAATACTATTGCAATCTTATATGCTCGAATCTAGGACCCCTATGAATAACAACCGTTATTTTAACATTGAAGTATTTTTATTCGTGCAAGAACGAGATAAATTAAATTGAAAATATTATTTTTATAATAAAACTTAATAACCGTTGATTTGGATTAATAGATCAAAGTAATGAAAAAATTATATAAAATTTTAATTTTTTATAAATGAATTAGGTTTGTATTAATCTTGTATTTTTTTTGTTAATAGTAATATACGAAAGGCAATGGGCAGTGGGGACCCTAGATATTTAACATTCCAATGAGTGGTTAGTGGCAATTATTAAATACAAAATTAAGCAAAAAAGTGATATTCCCATGAAATATCTCGACTTTTCTCCGACGTGGAAATTACTTATTGGTCCGAAGACGATAAGAAATGTGTGTTCAGCTACTGCAAGAGTTCCAAATTAAAAACCCTTATTCTTATCGTTTCATTTCCTTAAAACTTTGCATAACTATTCTTCTCTCAAACAAGCAACAATGGCAACCCTATCTAGTCTTAGCCTCGCAGCCCCAAGAGCCACAGCCAACGTACCGGACTCGAAAAACGGTGGCCTCGTCAAGACCCCATACCTTAACCAGCCCTGGAAAAGGGTCTCCCAGATGGGGTCTAGACGCATGCAGGTAATGAGACCTGTGAGGGCTGCCCCTGATAGAATTTCGGAGAAGGTGGAGAAAAGCATCAAGGAAGCACAGGAGTTGTGCTCCGACGACCCGGCCAGCGGAGAGTGTGTGGCGGCGTGGGACGAGGTGGAAGAGCTCAGTGCGGCAGCCAGCCACGCCAGGGACAAGAAGAAAGATAGCGATCCGTTGGAGAATTATTGCAAAGACAATCCAGAGACAGATGAGTGCCGCACTTACGATAATTGAATTATCATGGCGTCCTTTTCCTTTTTTTAGTTGTTTGTAGAACTTTTTATTTGCTAATGTGAAACTTAAGATGTTATTACCGGTTATAAATGATGAAATCCTATACCACATGCAATGGAAGAAGATAAGTTGGCAATTTAAAAGAGATTTTAGATATATGCATAATTGTTGTTATTCATACAGGTAACGGGTTTGAGGGGGGAAATAAAATTGACAGACGTACGAGTTATTAATCTTAAATGTTCGAGATATTATTTTGTACTCCCTATATATTAATAGAAAAATCAAATTTAAGCACAAACCAAATAATATTAGTAGTTAAAAGATTTGTTGTTATCATTGAGATTTATATATGTTGTTATCCTTAAGATTTCTTGAACACCAATCAAACAACCTCAATAATTAAACAATTATAATAGTTAAAGTAAATTATTAACATACCCAATTTTCAAAAGATTATAAGTCTTTAATTAAATATTATATTATATTCATTTTAGATTTTTTTAAAAAAAAAGATAAATGTAAATCATGATAAGAAGACTTTATTAAAAATTAATGGATAAATTTAAGAAAACTTCCTATTTGATAACTCATCTATTATTTATTTTTTATTTTATACATAATAATAATAATTTTTTAAAATTATACATAAAGTTATATTTTAATTTTTTAAGATAAATTTATATTTTAATTAAAAATGCTTATAAAAAAATAAAAATAACTTTTGCGAACGTATATAATTTAAAATTTTAAAAATTAAAAATAAAATCAACATGAACAATATAAAATTTTTAAACCCACAAACAATTTATGAAATATATAATTATATTATAATCGATAACTATAAATTTATAGATTACAAAATAAACTATGTTAACAAATAAATTAAAAATAAAATTTAGATTTTAGCCGTAAAACTGTTAATTTTATTATTTTTACATTTAAGTTGAAAATTATTTAAAATATATATTTTTTTCTTCCAAAGCCTTTAATATTGTTTATCATCCAAAAATACTTTCATCCTTAAAAGTATTTTTTAAATACAAAATTAAATTAACCTTAAATGCAAATTCATTTAATTTACCATGAAAATAATAAGAGATACAACAAAGATTCGTGTAGAATGCTGATGTGGCTCAGTGATTGTGCGTGTATGGGGGGAGAAAACAATTATTAAGATTAAATGAAATTTGCATTATTGCGAAGATAAGGCAAGATGCAAGATTTTATCTTATTAGGAGTTGGCCAAATCTCAATGTGAATATCGTTGCGTATGGGTAGTCATCGGAACAGTATGATATTTTTTTTTATCAACGCACTCCTCCGTCGCAGCCATGTTCTACTAGCTGTGCCTCCCTGATTTTGTGGATGAGAATTGGAAACTTACAACCAGAGCATAACAGCTGTTATCCTCATATTCATGAACCGCCACCAAGTTGAATGATCACCTTCTCTGTCTTAGATCCCGTAAACGCCATTCATGACCCTGCGTATGTCAGCTTGCAGAGTTAAGACAATGTAACTTTCAATTGCCTTACGATTCTCGCTCCAGCAAATCATAAGCTTAAACCTTTGTCCAACTCGATAGAAAACTTTTCTAAGTTAAAATCATTGTTCAGCCATTGCATTTGAGAACTGCCTATTGACAATGATCGTGCATCTCGTAACTTGGATTTAAAAGTAAATATAAATTGACAATTACTGGGTGATGTATGATAAAGCAATGTATACATCTTATTCTCAAGCAAACTACATCCAAATCCATTCCAATTCATGTTTCCACAGTACAAAAGCTTTTCTGCAAAACCCAAACTCTCGGTTCAGCACAATGCAAATTGACATAAACCAGAGAAAGGGCGAAGGAAAAGATAACGAACAATAAATAAGTACAGACTCCAACAAAGAAATCAAATTTGTCCAACAAGGAAGAAGAGTCTATCCATCAACACTCGAACATATCAACCGAAGCCATAATTGGTTGTATCGTACAGGGGAGTTGCCACGGCTTCAACAGAGGATCTGGAAACTCCGGGATATCAATGTCGTAACCGCCTACTTCTTCCACAATGTGCAGCACCGAATTCAGGGAGCGCAATCTCTCAGTCAACTCCATCGCCTGAGCTCTTAAAACGTTGTTAGCCGATTGCATCTCGATGTACCGTTGGCTGGTGACGCTGATCTTTTCAGAAATCTGGCTGTTCCCTTTCTGCAATGCACTTACTTCCTCAACCAAATCTTCGAGCTGCTTTTGCTTCCTCATTCGTGATCGCCGTGCTGATTCCCGGTTTGAAAGCATTCTCTTCCTTTTCCTCTCATCAATGTTCACATATCGCGGGTCTGAATCGGATGAACTCGCTGGTACTTGCGCAGAAGCCATCTCAAGAGAAGTGTTCAGTCTTTCTTTTACCCGGGAGAATACTTAATATGATTTAAAAAATTGAATAATGATAAAGGATTTCCAATTCTCAGTAGTCAGAAAACCTATCTAGGGGGTTAGATGTAAATTAAGGAGACTGATGAACAAAGAGGGTGAGCCAATTCATGAGAAAACGTAGAACCAGTAAAGGAATACAACTGAGAACGAGTGAAGAATACGGATTCGACGCATCATTGGAATGATTTCATAAAATGATTTGGACTACCAATCCGCAGATCCGACATGAACAAAACAAACGAAAACTAACAAAGGAAAAAAACACAAGAAAAATCCTAGATCTAAACCAGATCTACAGACAAAAGGAAAAAAAATAACAAAGAGAGCGAAGAGTAATAAGCAATAAGAAAGAAAACTAAAGAAAACAATTAAGAATACTTAGCTGGATGAAAACAATAGCAGACTGGACGGGAGCGAACGCAAAGAAGGTTTTCAAACGACGGGAAGGGGGGCTTTTATAGAGAAATGATTGTGTTGGGGGGGGGGTTGATTAGGTTAATTGGGTTAAATAATAATTAATAATGAGGTTGAGGGGTATTCAAGGTCTTTTAACTGTTTACCTTTTAAAACAAGATGTGGGTTCGGAGTCACCGCTGGCGTGCAAACTCACGCCACCTTTACATTCTAACGCTTTCTTTGCACTTTCCAATCTCTTTTGGCTTTTTTTTTTGGAATATTCTACTTTTCTTGATTTTCTATAAAAGGTTTAATAGGTAATTTTCTCCTACTTAATTTAATTCTTTGTTTGATTCTTATATGATTTTTTTCTTAGTTTATATCGTGTATTATTATTATTTCTTAATTTGCTTACCTATTATCTCCGTTATGGTTAATGTTAGAAAAGAATCCGATCTTCTATTCAAAAAATAAAATAAAAATCCAATCAAATTAGTTCATATCAAGTGTCGTGAAAAAAATAAAATGAAAATTCGACATTATTGAATAAAATATAAAAAAAGCTAAAACATTGACAATTAATTTTTTATTTTATTTTATTTTATAATTTACTGATGTTTATTTTTAAAAAAAATATATACATGATTATAGTTTAAAAATAAGTTTGAGGCGTAGATTTTGAAAGAAATATATATATTTATAATTTATGATTTTTTTAATTTTTTATATGTTCTAATTTAATTATATGTGGCAATGAGGTTTTTTAAAAACAATAACTACGATTGTTGTAAAGTGATAGATATATTGTTAGTACATACATAAATAAGAAAAACTATTACAATACCAAAATGAGAATTAAGCTAAAAGTGCACTTAGAAATTAGCTATTAAGCCTTATTTCATTTTGAATTCAAAAGATTAATAATGTAAATTTTATTAGTGTTTGTTTGTGATAATGTACGTTTTCAACAAATTATTTCTCATTTTAATTTCGATGACTAACAAAATCTAGAGTTTTAAATCACATCATGCTTCAAGATAAGTATTGTGTAAATAAGATGGAATTCGATAAGTCATAAATATATATATATATATATATATATTTCATATCAAGTCTATTATGTTTTAGTGGCCTAAATTACTTACAAGTTAATCTTTTATTAGATTTTATAGTTTACAAGTCAAGGTATGTGTATGGCACGTATTATAATTAAAATAAAGAATTATGATGAAGTTTGAATATTTCAATAGTAAAATGATAGATGACATTTTCACTTTCAGTGAAACTCTATCTTTATATTTTTAATGAGATTAGAACAAATCATAAGAATATAATATACAATTTAAACTTTTATTAGGATTTGAATAAGTAAAAATAGTGTAATCTAATGTTTGATTTATATTTTTTTAAAGTCAAGTGACCCAACTAAAAACTTATATATGATCGAGTGACTATTTGGATAGTTTAACTTAAATTTTTATGCTTGAATTCCATTTGTAATATTCAACTTTTGAATTGTAAACAATATCAAATGTGTAATTTATAATGGGCCTTAATCACAACTTTGTGGCTGTAGTTTAGTGGTTAGAATTCTACGTTGTGGCCGTAGAGACCTGGGCTCGAATCCCAGCAGCCACATAACTTTTTTTCCATCCTCTATCTGTTGCAAAATCGCAGCCTTAGATCCAGATTGTGCAAAATCCATCACGAACGCACATCACCGTCCAAGCAACAAACTCGCAAACTTATGCCCGGCTACACCGTATCCATTGTATCAACATATTTCCCGCCAAAACTCCCAGTCCTTACTCGTATTGTTGCCGTCAAAACCTCATTTATTTCCACCGTCTAATACCCATATTCTCCCTCACATCTCCTTCAACCCTCTGTTGCTCGTTTCCTTTCTATCTCTTTACACACGTTCAGTGAAGTAGAACTTGAACTTGAATTATCCAAAAAAAAAAAAACTTGAACTTGAGCCATGAAGGACCTCTACTTCAATGCAGACAAAGGTACTCTCCTCCCCTATCCCTCTTTCTATCCCTTCTGCATTATCCGTTCCCTGATTTCCGTCTCCCCCCCCCCAATGTTTTGACAGCTCTCGCCAAAGAATTCCTATCAAACTTCGCAAACGCAAATGGCGAGGCAAAGTACATAGACATCCTTGTGAGTCTTCCTCTTCTTTCTCGTCATCCTCTCCAATTCAAAACCCTAGATCTATTTTTTTCTTGTACTTGAAAAAAGAGTATTCTTAGTATGCATATTTTTAGTTCTCTTGCTTAATTATTTTTTAATACTTATCCTTTTCTGCATTTCAGCAAGAAGTCGCGAATCATAAAATTAAAGCTGTACAGATCGATCTCGAGGACCTATTTAATGTACAATTATTCCTATTTTCCTTTTAATTTATTCTAGGATTTATTTGTATGAAAAACCTTAATTTAGTTCATTGGCTGCTAATTCCCTTTTCACAGTATAAAGACTTGGACGAGGAATTTCTGAGGCGAGTTACCGAGAACACTCGAAGATACATTGAAATTTTCGCAGGTGCAATTGACGAGCTTTTGCCGGAGCCCACTGAGACCTTTCATGATGACGATCATGATATATTGATGACACAAAGAGCAGAGGACGCTACCAATAATTTTGATGCGTCCGAACCACGTCAGAATATGCCTCCGGAGATTAAACGTTACTTGTAAGCTTTAAGAACAAACTCATTCACTCCTGATGCATTTAAGCGTGTCCTAAATTCTTCATTTAGAGAATAACGTATAATTTCTGAGTTTATGTTGGTACTTTAGTAGTCTTGTAGGTTCTTCAATCAAATATCCTTCTAGTGTAAGAAATGATCCATAGAGTTGAGGTGTAGGAAAGAGTTTATATAATTAAACCATGGAATGGAAAAGGTTTTCCTCCCACTTATTTTGTCTGCTTAGATTGTAAATTCAAAAGTTTGTTATGGCGATTGGTAGCTACATGTTCCCTTAAAAGTGGATGCTGAAGAATTGATGTGCAATCTGAAGTCGAATACAGCTAGCTTTAGATGCCGCCTGCTTCTGGTCACTGTTAATTATTTTCTAGTCAGGCTTACTAATTGTAAGTTGGTATTAGAGGATAAATTTATTGCTAAACTTTTTATAGTGTTTGTATAAATTTATCTTAAGATATCCGTGTGAGAGATATTATTTAGTATGCATTATCTGTGCTTAAATTGTGTAAACACCTACTCTATTCGGGATAAGTATAACTGCACTGGCTGATGCTCTCTTATTTTTTATTCAGTGAAGTTTATATCAGAGCACCTTCAAAGGGGAGACCATTCACTATTCGGGAGGTGAAGGCTTCATATATTGGCCAGCTTGTAAGAATAGCTGGTATTGTGACTCGTTGTTCAGATGTTAAGCCTCTGATGCAGGTGGCTGTATACACATGTGAAGAATGTGGCTGTGAAATTTATCAGGTAACTAACTATTGTCAGATTCTATATCTAAATATTAATTGTTCTCTTTGTCAATGGTGATGGGCCATATACATCACTTGTAATGCTTATTTTTTATTTTCTCGTTTCATTTGTGTGCCAAACAGGATGTAACTGCTCGAGTATTCATGCCATTGTATGAGTGCCCATCAATGCGTTGTTCAATAAACAAGATGAAAGGGAACCTTATCCTTCAACTTAGGGCATCCAAGTTTTTGAAGTTCCAAGAGGTTCTAGTTTAATATGGTTTATTAAGATAACAGTAATAGCAAGGAATCTCAGTGCATTCTTGATAATGTGTAAGATTAAATTTCCAGGCCAAGATTCAAGAGTTGGCAGAGCATGTTCCCAAAGGCCACATTCCTCGGACAATGACTGTTCATTTTAGAGGGGAAATAACGAGAAAGGTTGGTTTTCATTTTTATTACCTGAAATTAAAGTACCAAAAGATTGATTTCAAGAAAGAAACCTTGATTTCCCTCCTTGCAGCACTACATTGCATGGCTGGAGACATCACATCCTGTTCATAATGAAATCTAACTGCAATGTGCTAACAATGTGTTGGTGTTACCTTGCTCATTTAATTCAGGTTTCACCTGGTGATGTTGTTGAATTATCGGGTATCTTTCTTCCTATTCCATACACTGGATTTAGGGCAATGCGTGCTGGATTAGTTGCAGACACATATTTGGAAGCCATGTCTGTCACTCATTTCAAGAAAAAATATGAAGAGTATGCCACTTTTCTGATATAATAACTGGAAGGCATACATATAATGTATTCAATATCCATCTTTATGCTTTCTAATGTCAGTATGTTAGCTTGCAAAGAAGACATCTGATATGGATGTCTCGGGTCTCCATTCACTGATGCAAATTATTACCCAAGCAATATGCATGTGCATGTATTTTCACTTAAATATGCTCAAGTGCAGGTATGAACTTAGGGGAGATGAAGAAGAGCAAATTGCACGTTTAGCTGAGGATGGTGATATCTATAACAAGTTGGCACGCTCATTAGCTCCTGAAATTTATGGACATGAAGATGTTAAAAAAGCTTTGCTTCTTCTTCTTGTGGGTGCTCCACACCGTAAGCTAAAGGATGGGATGAAGGTAATATGCAATCTTATGTTCTATTGTATTTGTTGGCAGTCATTTTCTTATTATCATTTATCACTTCTACTAATATGACTCACCACAAAAGTTGGCCAAGTCATTTTATTGTTATTTTACTCGGAGAGTTCAAGTTATGCCCATGAACAATATAGCACTAATTTCATCACTCCCTTTTCTTTCCTACCAAAGAATTCTCTTTATTTTATACTTACTATTTGCTTCCTTTTGTATTTGTCATTTGGACTGACTAATAGCATTTTAATGAATTATTTGGCTATATTGCAGATCAGAGGAGATTTACATATTTGTTTGATGGGTGATCCTGGTGTTGCCAAAAGTCAGCTTCTAAAGCACATTATAAATGTAGCACCCAGGGGAGTCTATACCACTGGCCGGGGAAGCAGTGGAGTTGGTCTAACTGCAGCTGTGCTGAAAGATCCTGTCACTAATGAGATGGTCTTGGAAGGGGGAGCCTTGGTAAGATGTGTTCTTTTCTTGTATTATAATTTATTGTATTTAAATGGATATGTTTATGGTATGATAAGGCATAGAAGAATGTGGCAACAACAATTGTGTACATTACATTAAGGACCATATAGATCTTGCCAACCTTTCTTTTGTATCATCTGTGTTACAAGAAATGCTTTGTTCTGTTAATTGTTATAATTGAGTTGGTTTCTGTTTTACATGTGCATTTAGTATATCTAAACTCAAATATGGTCCATTACATCTAATTATTATTAATCTCAAATATGACCCCTTTTATCTAATTGTTATTTTCAAGGTTCCTATGGTTTCATAGAGTCGTCTTGATTCTGCTTCAGGTGTTAGCGGATATGGGTATATGTGCTATTGATGAGTTCGACAAGATGGATGAATCTGATCGTACAGCAATACATGAAGTTATGGAGCAGCAGACTGTCAGTATTGCAAAGGCGGGGATCACTACATCTCTGAATGCAAGAACTGCAATTCTTGCTGCTGCAAATCCAGCCTGGTAAAAATGTTTTAGGTCCTTCAAAATTGTTTCTATTATGACATTATCTTTGAAACTATCCTTCACAAATCGAAAAGGAAGTAAGCGGGGGAGAAAAGAAGGGTATTCTCTCTTTAAGAGTTTGATCTATATGCAAAATCAAATTTATTAACTTGAGTCATATAACTTGTTTTGAAGGGGAAGATATGACTTACGTAGAACTCCAGCTGAAAACATCAACCTCCCTCCAGCCCTTCTGTCACGATTTGATCTTCTGTGGTTGATCTTGGATCGAGCAGATATGGATAGTGATCTTGAGATGGCAAGGCATGTTGTTTATGTGCATCAGAATAAAGAATCTCCAGCTCTTGGGTTCACTCCACTTGAACCATCTGTCCTTCGGTAAGCACAGTGATTGCTTTTCCATGGAAAGCTTGTCAGAACTTTATTGATAATTCTCTCCTGATATAGTCTTATTTTTTGTTAACATGATAAAATTGGGTTGCAAAGTCATGTAAAAACTAAAAACTTTGAAAATTGTCTGCATATCTCTCCTTCTCTGCTTTCTGGATTTGTAGAATCTATAATCTGTTTCATAGTTGATAATGATACACGTGTTGTGTAAGTAGCTTTTCCTGTTGTTATTATACATATTTGATAGCTACATATTTGATATCTTAAAGTTGTTGATTTTCTTATAAGTTCCTGCACTTGTCCAAATTTTCATTTAGAAACCTTGATTTCTCTATAATATATCTTGATTTATGTTTTTTCATTTGTAGAGCATATATTTCTGCTGCAAGAAGATTATCTCCTTATGTTCCAAAGGAGCTGGAAGAGTACATTGCTACAGCTTATTCCAGCATTAGGCAAGAAGAAGCTAAATCAAATACACCTCATTCATATACTACTGTGAGGACCCTACTAAGTATTCTTCGAATATCAGCAGTAAGTGCCAAGTTTCTTTTTTCCTTGATATGATAATACTATAATATCTATTGGTCTGCTTAAACGGGTTGGATTGGTTTTCTTTGGGTTGGACAAAGGGAAGGGTGAAGGATGTGGAATGTCTGGATCTGAAATGTAGGTGCAGCACAGCACTCTCAGATTTATTGTTTGCTAATATGAAAATTTTCATGTAGATTGACTATAAATTTCTGGTGCAAAATATCTGCCCCTGGGTGGATCAGTTATCTTTCATTTGAAGTGCAATTGACATGAAGTTGATATAATTTTGTCACAGGCACTAGCAAGGCTTCGTTTCTCTGAAACTGTGGCCCAGAGTGATGTGGATGAGTCTCTTAGGCTGATGCAAATGTCCAAATTCTCCTTGTATTCCGATGAACGTCAGAAGTCTGGTCTGGATGCCATATCTGATATATATTCTATCTTACGAGATGAAGTGGCAAGGGCTAACAAGATGGATGTGAGATATGCCCATGCTTTAAATTGGATTTCTAGAAAGGTTTGTTCTCTATACAAGATAGTTGAACTCGTTATTGTTGCTTATTATCTGGGAAATTGAAATGTTATCTAACATTAATGCCAATCATCTTGCAAGGTAATATCATTATTATTGCATGGAGTACCTTGACAATTGGGTCTTGTGGCCTCTTCTTGGCGCCTATATTCTACAAAATATAAACATTTGATTATTACTAGCAAGCTGTTCTTAATCAATGAGCCTATATTACAAGAGATTCAACGAAGTGGTATTGAAGTGATTTAGTTCATCTAATCAAACAACTCTAGCATTCGACATTTCTGGAGGTTGTGGATGTATTATTATTGTTGTTTTAGCACCAATAGTTGCATGGTGATCTTAGAAGTTAGACCACAAAAGTTAGATGTTTGTTCTTAGTGCATATATTTGGATAAGTAATATTTTGGCATATTAATGAAACTGAAATATTGATTTTTGGTTGTCAGGACTACGTAAAGTTTCTTACTGCTTAAGGTTTATTGTTTGGATTTAACAGGGATATAGCGAAGCTCAATTGAAAGAATGTTTAGAGGAATATGCTGCCTTGAATGTGTGGCAGATACACCCCCACACCTTTGATATTCGATTTATAGATGCCTGAAGTTGTATAAATCAATTGAAGGCAACCCGAAACGTAGTGTAAGCCGCATCCATCTGCAGGCTTATAGTCCAGTTGCTTAGGTGATTAGATTTTAACATATGGTTTGTCAGGTGTACCGTTTGAAGTTATATAGGCAGTAGTAGTCAGTATTTGCCTAGACTTGAATACCAGTTAGTTTGAACCTGAATTATGTTATTGGCAGCAGCATGCTAAAAACATTCCTGTTTTAAATCATCTTTTGATCTGCAGTGATGGGAATAATTCACTCTTTATGTTATTATCTTCTGATTATCCTGTTTTGTTCAGAAATGGCAATGTCTTCACTTAATATAGCAAATTAATAGGAACTTGGGACTCAACTGTGCGGTTTGATGAAGGACATGCGTCATCAACTTGTATATATCCGTAGTTAGGTTAGAAAACAACTATTTATATAGGAGCTTGGAAGTTGTGAAGAATGACATCGACTTGATGTTTCCGAAGGTGAAGAGTTACCTGTATCTTTAAACATAACCTTGTCTGAGTCGGGTTCTTTGCTCCTAGTAGTAGTAGTCTTTGGCAGAGCGAGGAATGAAGTCTGAAGTGAGGGCCGATGATTGGAAAAGTTCTCTTTCCTCCTACCTGTGATTTGGGATGGGCATCTAACCCGAACCCGACGGATTTCGACCCGACTCGACCCAGAAAAAATATATAATTTTACCTTATATATTTAGGAATAATTACAATAATACTCTTTTATATATTATTTTTTTTAATTTAGTCACTGTTTTTATTGAATAAAAATAATTTTTTTATTATTTCGGGTCGGGTCGGGTGAAAAATTAATTTCTTCGGGTCGGTTCGGATCACGGGTGGAGGTCCCCTTCTTCTCGGGTCGGGTGGACCAAAAACCTGACCCAACCCGACCTATACCCATCCCTACCTGTGATATTATATTACTACTAAGAACTGAGGGTAAATTATATAAATTATCATCGATGTTTGAGTAATTTTTGTCGTTTATCGACTGATATTTTAAAAGAAATGAATGTTATTGATTTATAATATATCGGTCATTTGATGTTAATAGCTGTTATTGAAGGTAACGGAATATTTTTGTAATTGTCGACCGATAGTTTGACATCCTTCTATTTTAAAATGGATCTTAAGCCCTAACCTAATTTACCCATTTCAAAATTAAAAACAAATCAGATCTTGTTGATTGCAACTGCGAATGCAGCAAAGCTAACACGTGCTGCTTTCGAGTTGCTTTTGTTATTTTATTTGCAGATGAGCAGAAGTGTAAGGATGGATTATTAATAATTAGCTGTTTTGATTTAATATAATCCAAAACAATAACATGAACTGTTAATTTTAATCATACAATCAGTTTTTTCTCTGAATGCATGTATACACAAGAAAAGGCATAACCAGGGGTTCAGCATCCATAGCCGTGATATTATGCGAGAAAAAAAAATAATGATATTCATGCAAGCATTATCAAAAGATATTGTAACAATGTGGAGTAGTAACATACTTCGTCACAAATAAAAGGATTTTACTTTTAGTCTTGGGAAAAGGAAAATTAAGACATGTCCTACAAAGTAGTCAAAAGAATTTTAGACAAACAAACACGTACAGAGACTGCTACAAACAACATCATCTTGCAAATACAAACTGTTTCTTCATCTTTAAGCATACATTACCGACAACCTTAAATGGTAAATAAATTGCGCATTGCATAGAAGTTGCCAAATCATATACAAAGACTTGTAATAGACTTTAACCTTGATACCAACATTATTACCAACAATAGGGAGAAAAACTTGTTATACTTATTCGTGGATCCCGATTTAAAAACAAGCCAGCCGAAGCTGCTAACAGTCTGATTTCATGGAGTCGTAGGTGCATTTTAGTGGATAATAGAGAAAGAATGAGGCCCAAATCATGTAATATACATAAAGAAAAGAAAAATAACAATGGAAAATGGGAGTTAGCCGACAAGTAGAGCTTTGGAATGCCCACAACTACACTGCCAATCAGTGGCGGGCCAGTTAGTTAGTTATGCTACAGGTAGAGTGAATGAAACAACATTGCATGTTATTGGTCAAGATGTCTCCGCCCAATAATCTTAAACTCCAAGCCATCACAGCAAAGATCTGAATCCAAAAAGAAACCATTTTGAGCAGCGGCACAAGTGCTAATCTTTAACTATTCCATTCGGTGGCTGATCTAACAATTTAAAAATATAATTCAAAATTTTAATTTCTTTTTCTAAAAAAAATTAAGTATACAAATTTACTTACTCTATTTCTTTCTCCTCCCCTTAACACATAAAACTAATTTTAACAATTTATTTTAGAAAAAAAAATAATAGGTATATGCTTGCTCCCCTAAAAAATTTGGTGCATCCGCCCTAAATTGCATTGCGGTATGGTAGACAATGAGAGACATGAACTGAATTGCCCTTGGTTTTGTTCCTGGTACAGCTTAGTGATTTCATCACCAAACCAATAGATCATGAAGCTAAGAAGCACAGTTGACAAATGGGTTTGGCAGTTGGCACATACATGTTTGTTGTGTTCTTTTAGTTTAGAGCTAGGAAACAATTACAAAATACAAGCAAAGGTTAGGACAAGAGGGTTGTTAAATGGCAGTTGTCATTCACTCTCATGTTGAGGTAATTAAGAAATTATTCAATTAACTGGGGTCTGTAAATAGTAATTAAATATTAGTCAATTTAGAGGGGGGGGGGGCAAAAAAGAGCAACAGTCCAAGCAATGGACTAAATATTTGTTTAACTTTCAAGGCGGCAATTACTTGGGTCGTTATTTTTCTATGGACGAATGTTGTTTTCAGAAGGAATGTATTTTATTCCTCTGCTAAGCAATCCTGCACCATTCACCCTCCACTATACCATCAACAGACCTCTCTTCAAAGCTAAGCTATTCCTTTTTATTCTTCTTATGATCAAGAATAGATGCAAAACTTTATGTTAGGGGACGGACTTATAAAAATTTAGGAGGACAAAAAACATATTATCAATTGAAAATATAAAAAATATATATTAATTTAAAATTCTGAAGATTACGACTGCCCTCACCTTCTCTCCTAATATCGATCACTCCTTATGATAATTAAAGGAAAAAGGATAAAAATTATCTAGTATCAAACTCGAAATTAATGTTAACAAAAATTTTATTTTTAATGAAAGTTTTTTTATCATTACATCTCTGTTTTGATTGACCAAAAGTTAAATTGTTCACAATTTTCATCTCAGTAAAATCAATATTTTTATCGATATACAATATATTTATTTTGAATTTACTTTTATTTGATAATTATAATTAAAGACAACATATATAATAACACATCAAATACAAATATGTTCTTTTGTGTTTAGAATAAAATATTATTAGTTTCTTGGTTGTTCATTGAAGAACAATTAATATTTAGGAAGAAATAAAGGGGGAAAGGACTCAAATAGTTATACTTTATTTAATTATGGCAACTACAATTAATTCAGTTGATCAATAAATAAAAAAGGATACTAATTAACTCCAAGTTGTGTAGGATGCCAAAAGCCAAGACCCACAACGTTAATTTTTAAGCCGAAACAAACTCGGATTATGTACTTTAACCCCTAATTCAGTACATTTAACTATTTAATTCGTTATTTTTAAAAAATTTAAATTTTTATATAAATTTATTTTCTAATATAAAAAATTTATCTTCATCTCATCTGACACGTGTAACATTTTGATTAACTTGTGGGTTTTTTTATATATATAGATTTGTAGTATCAACCAACTTAATCTCCCACCCGCATGAGTAATCCTCATTATTCTTTATTTTAAAAAAAACAAAAATAATAATATTAAAAAAAAGCAAAGAACAATGTGAACGTGCCATGATCAAAGTGGGTTATTTTAGCTGCATCGTCACCATTTCAATTCTTTGCAGAAACATCGTCACTATGTATATAAATCCTAAACAATCTTCTTCCATAGCTATTGTTCCATCACAAAATATCCAAAACGAAAATGGCTTTCGCCAACGACTGCGCCACTTTTGTTCTCTCTTGCCTTCTCCTCTTGGGTGGTTTTGGTGTAGCCCGTGACTCGTTTGCTTGCGATCCCAAAAATGCAACCACGGCGAAGTTGTCTTTCTGCAAGGTTTCGATGCGGGTATCGGATAGAGTGAAGGACCTTCTAGGAAGGTTGACGTTGCAGGAGAAGATTAGGCTTCTTGTGAACAATGCTGCAGCAGTTCCGCGGCTGGGGATCAAAGGCTACGAATGGTGGTCTGAGGCTCTTCACGGTGTCTCCGATGTAGGACCCGGAACCAGGTTAGGCGGAGCCTTCCCTGGTGCCACTAGCTTCCCTCAAGTAATCACAACCGCTGCTTCTTTCAACGCCACATTATGGGAAGCCATTGGAAAGGTGAGCCTTACAAGTTACAAAATTAAAACAAAACCATTACTTAAAATCTAAAAGTAAAGTTTGGTACTTACCTGGTGGCTCAGGTTGTGTCGGATGAGGCAAGGGCCATGTACAACAGGGGAGCTGCCGGACTCACTGGAGTCCCAATGTCAACATTTTCAGGGGCCCACGATGGGGCCGAGGACAGGAGACTCCAGGTGAAGATCCAATGGTGGCCGGTACATATGCAGCCAGCAATGTTAAAGGATTACAGGGAAACAACGGTGACCGGATAAAGGTGGCGGCTTGTTGCAAGCACTTCACGGCCTATGATCTTGATAACTGGAATGGTGTCGATAGGTTCCACTTCAATGCCAAGGTAAGCAAACATGACATCAAGGATACATTCAATGTTCCATTCAAAATGTGTGTAAAGGTCATGTAGCCAGTGTTATGTGCTCTTACAATCAAGTCAACGGTGTCCCCACCTGTGCTGACCCTAATCTCTTACGGAAGACTGTACGAGGTCAATGGAAACTCCACGTGTAAGGTCTATGATCAATGTTTGATGACCATTGATGATCATTATGATTTGTTGATGATCGTTGGATGTTAGTGGCGCACAGGTACATTGTTTCAGATTGTGAGTCAGTTGGGGTGTATTATAATACCCAACATTAAACTTCAACACCTGAAGAAGCAGCTGCAAATGCCATCAAAGCAGGCTTGGACTTGGACTGTGGACCTTTCTTGGCGCAGCACAGTGAGGATGCAGTGAAAGCGGGTTTGTTGAAGGAGACCGATGTTGTTGAATATTCGAGAGCTAGCATTGTTGGAAATTAGTAGC